GTATACTAACTTTGTTTAGCTTAAAGTAATTAACATACATCGTTTTGCTAGAGGAGCTGTTTCTTGTTTCTGCTTTCCAGTTACTAGGGTGAAAGTAAACTAATTGTTGATTGGATAAACATTTATTTCCGTTACTTGAACGAAGCAAGAAAGTGAATTAATTACCGATTGCAGAATTTCAATTCAAGTGCCATTCATTTAATCAATTTAATTATGCACTGCATTTAAGTGCGTACGGTTAATTGGTAAGTGGAATTTATGCTATAGTTAAACATATTTATTTTCATTCAACAGTAATCGAAGCGTTTTATTTAGAATACTTAATCAAAACAATGTTTAAATTCCTTCAAACAAATGTTTACACTAGAGGTCTTATTCTTCAAACTACCCTTAAGAACACAAAACTTGGACTACTTCAAAAACGTCTTAAAGAAACCATGTAATAATTGACCAGTCTGCAGATATATACTTAAACTTTTTTAATCAAATTTTCCTATTTTTGTTTGTGCACACGAGAATATAGGTAGCCAAAACAATTTTTTAATATTTAACATATACTTCGATTGTAAGATTAAATTAATTTAAAGACTTCTGATTCCTTACAGATATTCCCAACAAATCAGCACATATAAAAACTTTGATGAACCCATCAACTGCTAAATAGACTATCAAACCTTGGTGACAAAATGGTAGACCATTAATTTCACGTGATTCAATAATACCCTTGAGATTCCCCAAATGCATTCGATACTCAGCCGAGCAGATGACATTATCCTATAACATTTGTCCTTATCCCATCCCCTCTTCTTATTCCACTTCCGATCTAAACGAACCAAGGCCATGACAAATGTATTGCAAGTAACGCGTTTCAAGGCGATGCGCCAACGTGGCGTATGGGTAATGGCAGAAACAGAGTCAACTCAACCAACGGACAAATAAAATATGTTGCACACATTGCCACGCGCAGTTGCACCTGCTAAAGAAAACAATATGTAAGGAGACAAATGACTCGTATAAGGGAAGTGAAAGTTCCCTTTTATACAATTTATTTGCAGGATTAAAATTACAATGCAAAGTCATTACCCTACATTAAAGATTATGTTTAAGGTTTATTTTAATCACACATATTTGATTTTAATAAAATTATTTGAATACCAAATTTTAAACAATCTTTATTTGGGATCACTTGAAATCTAAGTTAAGCTTGGGAAATAAATTTTAATTTAAAATAAATATTAAGTCAATTAAGACAGGAATGGGTAAATATAATGAAGGCCAAAAGCCACTGCTATCTGCATCATCGAAACCAACATGATTTTTCCTATCAGAAACCGAAACCAATTGCGCTTCAATCTAAAAAAAGCCCGAAGAAGGAAAACCATTGAAAAGCCAAGGTATTTTACCAATCAAACCCACAATTCCTCATGCTTCTGCGAACATCGGGAAACAGTTTGCCACATTCCCATTGAGCCGGAAATGTGCAGGAAATGCGAGTAAACACAAAAAGCGATTCAAGTCGACAGTGGACATCCACAGGACAGCAAGTCCGAGGAAAAGTCACTGGGTCAGGTCATTCGCATTCAATAATCCCCCGCAAACAGCAACAAGAAAATCACAATGCAATAACAAACCAAAGAGTGCACTGCAAAAAAATATATGATATTAAAACATTTTTCCAATATATTTAAGGGCAAACAAAATAATTTTAATATTTAATAGTTTTCAGTAAATAAGTAATTTATAAGAGTTTAATTTAGTTTAATTTTTCAGATACATTTTTTTTAATCTTTACCCCACAATTTTACATACTGAAATATGATTCATAATTGCGTTTTTGTTGTTAAGTTACTTTTGAAAACCTTTTTTATATTTATGAAATATAGAAATATGTCAATCTTTTTTTTCAGTTGCACAAACTTCCAAAGAAAAGTGGGAAAATTGAGTAAAACGGAGGAAAGCACAACCCTCGGTGGCAGCTTGACTTTCTTGATGCTATTTCCCTTTTGTCACTGACATCAATTGCTCTCCGCTGTCAATACACGAATATTGGTATAATGATGCGGCCAGTGCAATGTCCATTGGGTAAAAACATCTCTGCGATGCAAAATAAAAGAAAATAATAATAATCATTTGTATTCGTGTATGACAATTCTGTTGTCTGCCCGGTTATAAGCTGCTTTAAATTTAATTGTTTTTTAAAGATCGCGAAGCATTTCTTTTTGATTGCGAAATTATTCGTTGTTATTGAGAGAGTTTTTTTAAGGAAATTTTGTGTTGCCTGTTTTGTTTGTTTTATTTATTCCCGACGTCAGTGTCGAATTTGTATAATGAATAGCTTTTGAATATAATAGAATAGCCTTTTATTTGTTAAAAGATTCCCTTTTCAAATTTGTATTCTCATGAAATCGTTCATTCAACTTTTCAACTTTGACCCGTTGACCACATTTACATATGCATACTTATGAGAGTCCAGCGGGGTCAAAGATGACATAAACTGCAGCGAACCGCCATGAATTCGTCATGCAGGCGAATGCTGCTGACAATGGGACCCTGTTATCCCTTCTGTGGCCAGACTGCACTGAGAAAAACTTTATTTGTAATTCGTTTTAGTTTAATATAATTTCATTTTCATACTACGTTTCAAAATAAATTGGATTTGATATTAAAAAGCTCAATCGTAAAAGAGTTTGCAAAATCATTATTATTTGTTCTTTGATTATGATTATTTTGTTTTCATAATTTGTACCACAATCTTTGGTAAAATGGTAATTTAGTATTTCTCAGTTTAAGTGTCTGACCAGCATTTGTCTAGTCCAATGTGCAGCATCAAGTTGGGGGCACAAAACTGTAATCTATTTAATAAACCACATGATCCACTCGGGGCGACGATGTCAGCACGATGAACTGCCGGAGGTGGAACTGTGTACCCCCACACCTCTCGGGAACTCTCTACACCCAAACATCACTCCACAAAAATAAATTATTCAGCCCTGTGAACGCTTGAATGGATCGGTATTCGCAAATACCATCAACCATCCATCTCTCATATGTATTTGCCATCGGACAAAAACTTCGTTTACATTTTGGAGTCACACAGGCTACTGCATTGACAGAGGTGAAATTGTTTTCGAGATGGCTGCGATTATACCGTTGGTTATAAACCCATAAGAAAAAGTGTAATTATATATATTATATATACTATATACAATTTATAAAGATTTTATTATATAATACTAATCATAAATTTATTTAAAAAGTTTTTAACATGTTTCTTTAATCGTGCGGATATTAAATGAACAAGAGAAAATGAGGCCTTTAAGAATTACATATTTATTATATTTAAAAAAACCTTTTTGCGAATATTTTAATCTTCAGATTAAAGAAACCGATAGTAGATTATGACAATCACACTAACTCAATTATACGGTTTCGTAAGCACACACATTCCAGGGGTCAGAGGGATATAGGATGTATACATGGGAAGGATACACGAAATAGGAAGGGAAGACTGAGGGGCGAAGGACACGCGTAGCCGCAGGACATCATGGCATATGTGCAGCCTCCCGATGATGGGCAAAGCTAAGCGGTTAACCGCAGGAGAGGAGGCGATTGTGCCCCATGCGAAGTGTGCACCCCAATACCGGGACTGAAACCATTTCGAGGCTGAATTGTGACATTATTTTAATGAAAATTGACTCTTGATTCGGAGGGCGGCATTCCCTAACCACTCCCCAAAATCCAATGATTGAGCCCATAAAATGGTTCCGACTGCTGCCGCTGTGGTCAACTTACGATACAATTGCGCTTTACGACTGCCGGAACAAGGGTTACGAAATAATAATAATGCAAACATCAAATGGAGGAACTGGATGTGGATGTGGCGGAGTGTGCGGAGTGTGCGGATGCGGAGCTCAACCCTTTGGACGCAGCTGCTCCGACGGCATCCAAAATGTAAACAGCAGCGCCAGGAACACAAAGTGCCCTAGGTGCAAACACGTACTGCAATTCAAATAAAGAAAACAATAATAGAAAATGGAGTTGAAGCCGGAGACATGGAAGGACGAAAGCCAGAGAAAAGCGCAAACATCTACCAGCGCTGAGGGCTTACAACTGGACCCAGAGTGGCTAACTCTATTGAAACTTAAATACCCTTCTTTCAATAATAATATGGATAATTAAGTTTTCTTTATAGGCAATATTCTAAGCTAATAGTTATTGGTGGAAAGTCAAAAGCCACCCGAAAAAAGGGGTTCTTTAACATATGTTTTCAAAATATAGATACCATATATAAAACACACTTAAGTTATATTTTTATTCTGTTTTAAAATTTGAACGGATCCCCTATATTTAGGATGCTTAGATAATATTTGTATTTTTAGGCTGGTTAAAATACCTTTCGCTCACACAGTTTTTGGAGGCTGCTGCACTTACTCGAAACGTCTTCGTAAAATGTTTTCTTTTCGTTTTTGGCTTTCAGCCTCATTCCCTTCTCCCGGATTTTCCGATTTTCCTTCCCACCCATCAACCTGCCATTCCCATCACCATCAGCAAACCGTTCTCACGTTGCACACTTTATTGTGCTTTCCAATTGTTTTTCTTGTTATTTTTGCTCCTGCAATTGCACTTTTCAATATTGATGATAGGGCGCCACAAAAGATATATGTATGTAACTATATTTAACGCTTCATTGATTAAGAGGCAATCGAGAAATGAATGCATCTGCTTAATCAAGATACAAATGGAGTTGAAATTAATGTGAAACCGACAACAAAGGATTGTGTTGGCTGAATTTGAAGTGCTCTGACCATAAAGAACGATAAATGTTGAATGTACTTTAAATAGGAGAGTCATAATTTCTCTCAGCTTAGAATATAAAATAATTTTTTTTACATGTTACAGACTTGCTCAAAGACACAGTTTTCTATGTTTTAACTTTTTCATTATCCGGTATGAAAGAACTCTGATTTATATATTACGTAGGTAAATGCAATTTTTGCACATTACCTTACATTAGTGAACGGATTCTGAGATGTTTGTTATTTAATGGCTGTTATATACCACTAAAAACTGACCCAAGAAATAAAGTATTGACCTTGGACACCAGCTGAGATGCAGTCACAAAACGCTAATTGAAAGTCTTAAAGGTAAACCCCGGACCTGCCCCAACACTTAGGTATGCTCCAGCGACACCTAATTAAAAAATTAACGGATTTGGGATACAATTCGTATATAAGAGCTGAAAGTCGTGTGCCCTGGTTAGACAGTCGCATCTGGGAGTTCCTAAAGCACATATTCGATGGTGTCCGATGAAAATAGTACGAAAATTGGCAGCTACTCGTTTCCATTTGCGGACGAGCGGACACGGACATGGCCGCTGGTGGAATCGCCTTGGAATGTACCAGCCCTGCTGACCCTCTATCTGCTGATGGTGCGCTACGGGCCCAAGTGGGCAGCCAGGTGAGGTCAGGTCATCCATCCATCCAACAAGCCATTTCAAACGCCCACTGGCATCAAGGACATACACGAAAAAAATTATTATGAAATGATAGGACATTTTCGTATCAATCGACATGTAAAAAATATAAAAAAATGCTTTTGAGAGTATCAAGGGATTTATCATAAATAAAATGATTAAATTTATAATCTGACCATGTAGTTTTTACTACTGGTTTAGAAGAAGGTTTATCTTTTAATTCCACTTCATTGGCACACTTTTTTTATTGCCACCTCAGCACCGGTAATCGAATCAAGTATTTTTGAATAATTTTTAAGTCTCAAATTTTTTTTGGTATTTTTTTGGATTGTATTAAAGTCTTAACTACTTTTACATTTTAAGTTATTCACTCATTAAAAAGACACGAACAACATATAAGTATATACATTTATAAGCTGGAAAAATCAATTTTGAATCTGTTTTTTTATCTGTGCACAGGTACAAGCCGCTGCAGCTGCGAGTGCCATTGTTCTGTCACAGTTTGGCCATGGGCCTCCTGAATGCCCACATTTGCCTGGAGCTCTTCACGGCGACGCGGGCCCTCGACTATAGCTTCAGCTGTCAGCCGTGTCGGGTGAGCTATAGCCCACATGAAATGCGTGTAAGTTGGTCCCGAAAAAAAAATTGGGAAAATTGTGAACTTTTAAAGGCGGAGATTTAAATACCCTTGCAGTAGAAATTCCAAATAGTACTGGCCTGCGTATCTGATTCAGATTTGATTTCATTTTTTCAGTACCAATTACTAAAATCAGATTTAAACTATTAAACAGAAAAATAATAATTTTAAGAATTGAAACAACTAATATGTGCACCAATTTTTGTATTTTGTGAAATATTAAATTAATTCTTTTAAGCTTTATTACAGTTGAGTTTCTTGGCCTCAAAAATACTGGCTTTCATTAATTATTTAGAAGTAGCTGCCAGTTGCTATAATTTTAATTAGCACCTGTAACAAAGGTGGACCAAACCATTTTCTTGTATATAGGACAGTTATAAATAAATTGAATCAATAATTTTATGACATGAGATTTATGAAAAACAAAAGATAGTGCTCTTGTTCAAATTACTGATCAGATATGATATACTCTCTGCAAGGGTATGAAATGCCCGCAGACCGGCTGACAGAATCAAATTGAGAGAGGGTCCCTTTTTGTAAAACAGATTGCCACGGCCCTTTGGTGGTTCTACATCTCAAAAATACTGGAATTCGCCGACACGGCCTTCTTCATCCTGCGCCATAAGTGGACGCAGCTGAGCTTCCTGCATGTGTACCACCATAGCACCATGTTGATCTTGTGCTGGGTCTTCGTCAAGTGGAAGCCGACGGGTTCTAGTAAGTATTATGTTTCTTTAAAGCGTTAAAATCGTTACCCTTATTTTTCGTACCAGCTTTTGTTCCGGCCATGATGAACTCCTTCGTGCACGTCATTATGTACGGCTATTATGCGCTGAGTGTCCTGGGCCCACGGATACAGAAGTACCTGTGGTGGAAGCGTTACTTGACTGGCCTCCAGCTGCTGCAGTTCACCATCGGCTTGCTCTGGGCATCGCAGCTGGTTATCCGGGGCTGCGAGTACGGAACATGGATTAGTTTCGCTGGAGGCGCCTACATGCTGCCGTTCCTGTTTCTCTTCGGCAGATTCTATGCCCAAAATTACAGGGTATCGGCGGATACCAAGAAAGTTACGTAAGCTAAATCAGGGAGCCCAACTGCACGGGGAAATAAAAATATCATGTTTGGAGTAAATTGTCGCTTTAAAAGGAATAAAGCGAGAATAATAAAACAAACAATTTTTTTAATTTACTAAAAACGTATGTATATTTAAGAACTAGCTATATGCTGCACAAAAAATATCCAACCGTAATAAGAAGAGAGCTGGCGTAGAGTTCGCTTGGTCCCGAATTTCCAAGATCCCTCTTTAAGGGAATCTTGCACGGGCAACCCACGTTCTTTCCAAGAGCAGAAGGAGATCGGCAAATCTCACAACTCGTTTCCGCGTCGTACTTAGGAACTATAATTTGACAACCAAGTTCTGGTGACCAAACGCAGATAAAATGAAAATCTCCATCTTCAGCTGTAAAATGATTGGATAAGTCAATAAGAGTTCCTGCTGGCCATAGCCCTAAATACCCTCAATGGTCATGCCGGATGGTATGCATACGTTTAAGTCATCTGTCAGCGGATTGGATGGATTGGAGTCTCTCAAAAACTTAGTCGGCAATTTTCGATATGATAGTGCCCTATGAAATCCTGATTCACCTTCAATAAGGCAATGCTCCTTATTATCCTCCGTGCAGTCTCTACACATTGTCTTAGCTTTATCAAACGTGGCACAGATGGTGAAAAGGCTTAGAGCGAGAATAATAAAACAAAATTTGTATATACTCGACATTTTTGAAGAAATAAATTGTTGTGTATGACAAAATTAATATACACACATTTTATAAATATTATGTGACAATTATTTCAAGCACTACTTTTTAAATAAACATTTTTTTTAGCAATTTCTCGGATAAGTCTCGAAGTAAATTTTTAATATAAATTAAATAAAATCAAAAATTCATCGAAGATTTTTGACTTTAAAGTATCCCAAGTCCGCAAAAAACATATTCAAATTTGAATAAACTATTTAAAAAGTCCTGAAACTGCTAGTCAAAATAGGTTTCTTTGAAGAACATTTTTTTTACCTTCTGATACTTATGATACTCACTTTAGTTTGCCTTGTAGCCAACGGTCTAAAACAACAGGTATGCTAAAATGTATAGGCAAAGATGTTTAGTTTTACTGCATTTATTATGTATCTGGTATTTAATGCATAAACTCATATGTACAAAAAATTCGTTAAAAAAATACATCGCGCAAATGCAGAACTACGATAGGCGAGAACAAAGTACAAAAAGATAGAAGTTTACAATTTTAAAAGAAATAAATTTTTCATTGTAAATGTTCTACATAACCATAGTGAGATATATTGATTTTAATTAGCTATTTCAGTCCAATCACATTGTGTTCTCGTTACCAAAGGTTTGTAATGCCTTGCTTGCATGGCCTTAATAAAATGCGGCAGCAAAGGAATGTTTAATGTTGCTGATTTGCCTGATTTGCTGTTTCCTGATGTTGTTTTTGTTGCTGCTGAACTGGCAGCTGTTGATTTTGGGCTGGTGGAGGACTCTGATTGTGAACTTGTTGCTGCTGCTGCTGTTGCACAGGTTGTTGTTGCTGTTGCACAGGCTGCTGTTGCTGTTGCACAGGTTGCTGTTGCTGTTGCACAGGCTGCTGTTGTTGTTGAACAGGTTGCTGTTGTTGTTGCAAAGGTTGCTGTTGTTGCTGTTGTAAAGGTTGCTGCTGTTGTTGTTGCAAAGGTTGCTGCTGTTGTTGCTGCAAAGGTTGCTGCTGTTGCACAGGTTGCTGTTGCTGATGCACGGGTTGCTGCTGCTGATAAACGGGCTGCTGTTGGTATACAGGCTGCTGTTGCTGCGGAATCTGTCCAGCGTGCTGGTACACCTGATTGGGATGCAGCTGCACCGGTTGATGTCCGTACTGCTGCTGCTGGTATTGCTGGGCGTACTGCTGTTGTTGCTGTGCGTATTGCTGTTGCTGTTGTGCGTGTACCTGGTCAGGTTGCTGGTAATGCAGTTGTCCGCCTGCCGGTGGCGGCTGCTGGTACGCTACGCCTCCAGGTGGTGGAGCAGGGTAGTAACCCTGCGGCATGTTCGGATGCGGCGCAAGCTGGCCGGCGGCGATCATGCGCTGCACCTCCTCCTGGCGACGGCGCTCGTACTCCAGGTACTCGTCGTGCGTGTACTGTGGCTGGCGGTCGATCGTCTCCCACTCAGGGTCCTTTTGGAACTCTTCCTTGGTGGTCTGCACCATGAACTCTTCGATGCTGATCAAACCATCGTGGTTGGTGTCGGTCTCCTGGAAGTAGTGCTCGCGCATTCGCTCCATTTCCTCGGCTCGCTCCCTCATGTCGTCCTCGGGCAAATCGCTCTGGTAGACCTTGTCCAGTTCCTTGACAAACAATGCCTTGACTTCCGCCTCGTCCCAGTAGCCATTACTGTCAACATCGTGAATAGAGAAGAAAGTCTTCGGTTCGAAGTCATTTTTGTCCATGTGGTCCTGTTTCTCCCACACATCCTCCAGTTGGGCCTTGTTTCCCGGGTGGTGGAGTTTCTCGTGATCCTTGTGCTTCTGCTCCTTCTCCTTGACCTCGGATTCGAACTTCTTGCGCGACTCCTCGTCCATCTCCTTTTTCTGCGCCTCCCGCTCGAATTCCTTCTGCATTTCGTACTCCTTGAAATCGCCCCGCCGCTTGCGATCCGCCTCGGCCAAGTCATCGGAGGTCTTCTGGATCAGCTTGCGCAGATCCTCGATCTCGAAGGTGTGCTCGTTGTCGTGGTCCAGATGCTGCGACACCTTCAGGTGTTTCCGGTCAATGTCGTTGGAGAGCTCGTAGGCCTGGTTAGCCAATTCTCGCAGACGCTCCACTTCGCGACGTTTGATCTCGTCCAGCTTGGTGCGAACATGGTGATTCACGTAGTCCAGTTCCTGTGCGATCTTGCCACTCTGCAAAATGAGACGGTGGAACATGAATTATATTATTATAAGGACATACAAAATCTAGAAACTCATATTGTAATATCACATCTTTTGTTAGCTTGCATTTATCGCCATCAAATTTTCTTCAGTTTTAATGCAAAGCCAAATCCCGTATAAAATCCAATAATCTAAATAATATCTAAGATCTAAGATTTAAATGGTGCGAAAATGTTAGCTGCCAATATGTATTAAGTCTAAAGTGGTAAGAAATTTCGTTTGCTCGGTGTTTGAAGCAATATTTAACTACAACAGGAATGAACGGAACAAATGCACTTTACGTGTTAAATACAAGGTTAATGAACATGACATAAGGCGATCCGCAGAACTATATGGAACGTAATTTGCGAGGTGTTCGTGAAATCTGTGAACAATATCCAATTGCTTTAGTTTTTAGATCTGTAGAAGAAAAATTGTACTTCTAATTCACTTTTTACTTTAAGACCAAATACACAAATTCAGCTTAAAACCTTGAAGTTACTCACAAACGGCTTTATATGATATTTTTACAGGGTTACAGATTTAAACAAAGAAAATTTACTTTTCCGAAAGTTTTTCACGGATCACAAAAGGGTTTTTATCCTTAAAATGTTCGCTTTCCAGTTATTCCAATATAATCTACGAGTAACTGCCCTTGGATTACCAAACAAAGGGGTGCCAAATGTAGCCGTGGCTATACATATCTAATAAATCGAATATGAACATCATTCGGCGGTTGGTTTTAAGTCCATCAAGTTTCCTACTTTCTACTTCCTGTCTATTATATGTATACGCAATACCTATGATAAAATTAATATTTTCTCCAGACGTGGATGACTATACGTTTCGAGTTTCCAAAAATACCCGATCTTCTCACCCGAATATCGGCCTCCGGAGCCTTGTCCAGCTTCTTCCGGAACTCAGGATCGGCCTCGAGGGCCTCGACCACCTCCCGAAGATAGCGCTCGTACTCCAAAGCCGTTTCCACGTCCGCGGTGGCCGGAGTGGAGGAATCCGACTCCTTGTGATCGCTCTTCTTGTTCTGCGTCACGGGCAGGGCAACAACCGTGGAGATCGAGGCGGAAATCGCAATCAGAGCCAATCCCAGCAGGGCCACGTTCTGCGCCATGGCTCCAAGTGTGTGATTATGGCGAGTACTTCCCAGTTTTGTCTAACACAAAACGACAGCTGTGCAAATATCCCCACAAAAAACAAATATTCTGAAGAATATATTCTGACGTGTCGGAGATGTTGTTGATCAGCGTGACCGTACTGCACTAACAAGATATTAATTGTATTTATAAAAAAAATACCTAAAGAAACGGGAAACATACTGTCAATATACCACTCCTCCTACCAAAGACGCAAACCACGTACCGACCAAAATTAAAACAGTGAAAATTCAACAATAAGTTGACTGTTTTCAAATGATTTTTATCGTTTACTTTTACGATTTATTTTAAAATAAAAAATTAATAATCAAATATTACAAGATCGTTTTGAAAATTTGTTGATATTTGAATTTGAAATTTAGCCCAAGAACACTTTTTTTTAAGATTAATATTATTAAGTTCAGCAGTTCGTATTTTAAAAACTATTATTATTATTAAAATATTATGCAATATTCTTTGTAACGGTTTTTAACTATAATTTGCAGATTTGTTGGAGAAAATAAAAAAGTTTTTTCTTTCTCATTTAAGCGTACGTAATTTATAATTTGTTTTAAAATTACACCTTTTCTTTTCTTGTTTTTGACGCTTTTCCTTTCCTTTTATCGACAGCCTTGAGGTCAACCTTGATTTTTCCCAACTTCTTTTGCTTCGGCTTTAAATCTTTTTCTTTGCCTTGACGCTTTTTAATAATTTTTTCCGTCTTTTCGACTTTTTTCAGTTTTGCGGACTTGTGGATCTCGTCGCTTTTTGTCTCCGGGCGGATCTTGGTCGATATGTCCTCGCGATCTAGAGGTTTCTTGGCCCGTATTTTGGCCTCCGATTTTTTAACCTTTTTCATTTGTAACATATACTCCGGAACGGTCCCTCCAGAGTTCTTAATTATAACCGCAATGCTAATTAAAAATAAATTTTGGTTAGATGAAGTCTTATAACCTTGTTTTGTAACTCTTTACCTTCTTAAATTGGCTGTGTCTTCCTGTGTGAAGAATGTTATGGCCCGTCCTGGGCGTCCTGCTCGTCCAGTCCTTCCTATTCGATGGATATACGAGATGGTGGTGGGCGGAAAGTCGTAGTTGATCACCAGATTGACGCCCTTGAAGTCAATGCCTCGGCCCATGAGCTCCGTACAGATAAGCACCCAAATGCTGCCCTCGCGGAAGGCTCTCACGCAATTGTCACGCTGATGCTGGCTCCGTTCGGCATGAATCACGTCCACGTTGATTCCGTCGTAGAGCAGCTCCTCGAACAGCTGCTTGGCGCGCTCCTTGCTCTGCACGAAAACGAGCACCGGCGGCTGGAGACCCTGGCGAACCAAATCTCGCATGGCCACCAGTTTGCCGCCCTCGGATCCCACGAACAGCAGTTCCTGCTGCACCGACTCCGTGGCACTGTTTTGCACTCCAATGGTGATGCGCACCAGGTTCTTAAGGTGACGTAGAGCCCATTTCGCCACTGGGACCGTGTAGGTGGCACTGAAAAAGGCTACGCACTTGGTTGGAAGGGAGCAGGCGGCGTAAATGTCATCCAGCTGCTCTTTGAAGTTGTTTTGGCCCTCTTCCATCAAGCGATCCGCCTCGTCCAGAACAAACCATTCGACTTGCGACAAATCCAGCAGCGGTGGTTCCTGCTGCAGAAGAAATCTCACGCGGTTCGGGGTGGAGACCAATATGTCGTAGCGCTGTTTGCATTCGGTGCCGTGTTTCTGCTTTGCCTCGCTCACCTTGCTGATGAAGTGGGTACGCAGGCCCGTTTCGCGAGTGAGTTCGGCACATTCCCGGTAGATTTGCTGGGCCAACTCGCGGGTGGGGGCCAAGACCAAGGCCCTCAGACCGCTGGTTTTGTGGGCCCTCAGCCCATCGATGATGGGCGTTAGGAAGGCCAACGTTTTTCCGGATCCAGTAGGCGCACAAGCCATTAGAGCTCGTCGCTGGAGGAGCACGGGCAGTGCCTGCATCTGGATGGGCGTAGGCTGATCGAAGTTGCGGGCCAGCAGGTTCTGCTGCAGACGGGGCAGCAGCTTGAAGTCCCTGGTCAGTGCCTCAAAACTGGCCACTGGTGGGGGAATCCTCTTGCCCAGCGCACTGATGCCGAACTGCTTCCTGGTCTCATTCGCCTGATCGGCGACCTTTTGCAGCTCTAACTCTTTGGCGGAGGGTGCCTTCCCCTCCTTGGGCTTCTTGCGTTTGGGTTCAGTGGTGGATTCTCCAGCCAGCAGGCGAAATTCTGTGGAGTCCTGGTCATCTTCCTTTGACTTTTTACTTTTTACCGGCTCCTCTTTCTTGGAAATCTTGGGCTGCAACTGTGGTTTGGTGGGTTGCTCCTTCTGCAATGTTGTTAATTAGCATGTGGACAACACCTTCTTGAGTAGTCACTCACCTTGGACTTCTTGGTAAAGCGTACGCCCGCCGTAATAAGTTTAAATATATCATGCTCATCCATGTTTCTAAAAACAACGCACGTGCATTTGTTTTGATTCGGGTGCAGAGCTGCCAGATCTATCAACTTTTATAGTTAACAGAGGGCTGGCTGACAAATTGAATTTTAAGTTTACAGAGTGCTGTTACAAGAAACCGCATATTAACCCTATAAAGGCTTACTTGGGAAATTATAACAGCATAACATTTTTTAATATTTTAGACACCTTTGCTAATCAGTTTTGATACTCTACATATACGATTTATCTGTTCCGCATTCTTACAAACCGAATTTTAGATTAATTCGAAATTATAGGCTAAATGCAAATATACCCCAAAAAGAGTAAGCAATATTCAGTTGAAACGTTGGCGTCTTTATTCCCCCGGCTCGATGGCCACCAGTTCGTCTAGAAGCTCCACCCTTCGCTGCAGTCCCTTGGAGTCCTTCTCGCTGCCCCTGATGCCCTCAGGAAGTCCGCCCCAGCTAAAGGAGCTCGGTCCAGTATCCTCCAGTCCGTCATCCTGGTACTCCTCGCAGAGATTGTGCATCGCACAAATGCTCTCCACGATGAGTCGCACCTCGTTCAGATCCCGGGCCTCCAGGGCGTACAGGGTGTTGAAACGTCGAGCCAAGGTGTCCAGGACCTGCTCCGCCAGTTGAAAGGCGGGACGCAGCAGTTCGTTGAACACCGCATCCTTGCGGAAGCATTCGGCTTCGATGGGCCGCATCAAGTAGGATTTAAGTGGGAAGACCCCGTTTCCAATGAGATAGGTGCCCGCCGGCATGGTCCTTGGATTCAGGGCCAAGGTCTGACCAATGGGCGAGTCCTCGAAGCTGTACTCCATGGCCAGTTCCACATAGCAGTCGACGATCTTCCGCTCCGCGTTGCAGATCAGCTGCAGCACCACCGGCACCTCGGCGTGCTCCGATTCCAGAAAGACGTCCAGCCGCCTCAGAGTTATGATGCCGAATAGTTCCCGGAAGCACCGTAGTTGCTCCAGTTTCTGGTAGCCCTGCAGGGTGCTCCGCTGGGCCGCCAGCGAATTGGGCCACTTGATGAAGCTCTCGTAGTTGTCGGAGATGCAGTGCCAGAATCCGCGCACCACCTGCTGGCAGAGGGCCCATGGCAGCCGGAACTTCCGGGCGATCTCCTCGAAGTGCTCGTCCGTGGACAGTCTCCACATGGCCAGTGAGAGCATCGTCTGCGCCGGAGGAGTCGGATAGCCGGGCAGCGCAACTCCGCTCAGGGTTTCCTCCAGTGTTTGCTGGATTTTCTACAGAATATATTTAAGAATACAGTGTTTTGATAGCTTTAGGTTAACAACTTCTATAACTCCTGCAACCATCTGCCACCAAAACAAGTTTCAGTTAGCAGAGGTGTAGTATAGACTATTTGTAAGTTTAAAAAGTCTGATTATACTCTAAAAATTTAAAATCTTTTATACGTCATTGACAAACTTATGTTCAATTTACGATCCAAGGAGTTGATAAAGTTGTTAGATTTGGGGATCTTGCTGATACCGTATTTAGTTTTTAACTTGAAATTACGTAAAAGTTATTATAATGGAATTAATAAACGTTTTCTATAACATGACTCATAATGACACAAAGCAATAAAGTAAACATAACATACTCACTTCTTTTTAGTTCTTTACTTTAAGTGAGCAATGTAATTGGATCCGAAGTGAAATGAACTTTTTTAACTTGTATGATAGTAGTACCTATTTATGTAGTTTTAAAAAAAGGACAGCCAAATCAGCAGATCAAATAACCTTTTATAGATCTTTAAAGCACGGAGGAACCACATCCAAAACTCACCAGGAATGTGAGCTTGCGCATGTGCAGGTAGGACTCAAACTGGGCATCCGTGTACCGGTGCAGGAGGTTGAGTTCTGAGTGGACCCACTCCAGCTTGGGCAGCTTGATGTCCTGTTTCCGGTCCTCCGGCTCCTGCAGCATCCTTCGTTTCCGGTTGACGGCCAACGACCGTTTCCTCTGCATCAGGGCAAAGATCTCCGCCTCATCGTCGTCCTCGTCGAAGGACAACAGTGGATAACTGCCGGGAATAATGTTCACCGGTGGCTGGTCAATGAGCAGGTCCTTGGTGATTATGGAGGCAATGTTGGCCAGCACAGCACGTTCCTCCATGACGAGTCCTCTTCGGATTCAGGTTCAAGTTAAGATTCTGGTTTATATCCTGTCACCCAGTTTAATCAACCCCCTTTTTTGGTGTGTGTGTATGACTCGTCAGCTGTTCGGAGTCCCTTTCCAGGGTGGAAAAATGGTCTTATTGTAAGCATAAAAATAATTATTAATTATTAAATTTTTGGATTAAAACCAACGATAAAAATCAAACTCTCTTTTCTTAAAACCCTTTCATTTGAAAATTAAAAATATGTTAATTTGACTAACATTCCATGTTGCAGTAAAAACAATGTTGCCAGATAGAGATTTATTGGCCAACAGATTTTTGAGCACTACTTTGCGTTAACAGTGATGTTAGATGTGGACAGACAAAACAGTTATTTTCAAAATAATATATTTTACAGATTTATAAAAATATAGTAAAAATATTTACTAAAATCAAACAATTTTTTAAGCAAGAGTTTTTAAAAGCTAACACTGGTGATTCGCAGACACTTTTCATAAGTATCAACTAATGCGACCAGAAATTCAGCACCGTATTGACGTCCTGGAACCTAACTTTATAAAATTAGATTTATTTATGAATATGTGCTTGCAGCTGCAAAGATAAAGCTAATTTTGTTCGAATTTCACTTTCCAATTTAATCCATCCTTTCATCCTTCTGTTTTGAATTGATTAACAGGGTACACCTTGGTAATCGCATTCTAAAGGGACTACAAAATATGTGGATATAATATCGTATTAATATAAGTTATAACATATAATAATGTAAGTAACTTACCTAATTTGGGCTTCTGCACTTCGAAGGTCTCCCAGGCGCAGGTATGCCACGTGGGATTGGCTTCCGCCATACTGGCCCGATTTCCCGGAGTCGAAGCACTTGCTCTCAATTCCCGAATGCGTCTTTGCAGGGCGGCTAAAACATCGGAGTGCCTGGCGGAGTAGACCAGATTGTTCTGCTCACAGGGATCCGTCTCAGTGTCGTACAGACACTCCTCCACCAGGGGATTACATGACCTTTGGAGATCCCCACAATGCACGGTAGCCGATTGCCGGATTGTCGAGATTCTCCGTTGCGTCAGACGCCTTAAATCGTAGCGGGAAAGGGCCCTTGAAGTAGCGGAATTGCGCACCGTCACCGGATAACTACTCTCGCGGGGATCCAGATTGTCCAGTTCCCGGTAGGTAAGCACCGAGTCGTATTGCCCGGCGGAAGTGGTACCATTCACGTACTTCCACTGGCCCAGTTGGATGGCACTCACTCTCCATTCGTCATCCAAAATGTGCAGGATCTCTCGAGGAACATGGGGAGCATCCGCCGATCCCGCCAACTGGGGCCACAGATCAATCCCGTCTAGTTTTAGGGAGCCATCCAACTCAATGCCCGCCGCATGGGACAGGGTGGGCAACCAGTCGGCCACGTAGATGGGCTGGCTGAAGATGGAGCCCCGTGCCTGCAGTTGGGAACTCCAAATGGCACCGGCCACCCGCACTCCGCCCTCCCACGGAGTATTCTTCTGACCACGGAGCGGAAAATTCGATCCCGTATTCGCAAACATACCCACCGATGGGGCTCCGTTGTCCGAGTAGAAGATCACTATACTGTTCTCCAGTTGATCCGTAGCGGCCAGAGTGCTGATTATACGTCCAACGCTCTGGTCTAGTTTGGAAACCATTGCTAGGGATTAGATAAATTCTAGGGTAAGTCATGTTACAACCATTTATAAATCTTTTAAAAATATGTTATAAGTTATCAATTACATGTATAGTTTAAACAATTTGGAATTATTAAGCTAATGGGGTTACAAAGTCATATTAACTTTCACATAATAAATCCATATTAATACTTTAATGAGCTTTTCATTCAATAAGTTACTTTTAATTTGACTTATTATTTCTTTAAATTGAATTATTAGAACTTTTTGGATAACAGGCGTAATATTATAAATATTTATTTGCCAATATTTTATACAAATTATAAAAAGAACGGCTTCCGCGTTTGTTAAGAGTAAAGTACTTACCTGCAAATTTCCTCCTGTTGGGATCTCTGATGTAGGAAAACTTTCGTATCTCCTCCTCGGGAGCCTGCAGAGGATCATCCTCGTTGGCCGTGTGGGTAGCCAGATGGCTGAGCATCAGGAAAAGGGGTTGTTCCTTATCGGCATGCTCTTTGATCAGTCGTTCCGCCTCGGTGGTTAGCAAATCGGTGACGTAAACCCCTCGATCTCGGCACTCCAGTTCCATGTTCCGCCGAAAATCGTATCCCAGACTGTAATTGGCTATCGGCATTTTCGATCTTCTTTGGTAATAGTCTATATAGGCGCCCCAATAACCAAAGTGGTAGTCAAAGCCCCGCTGGGTGGGTGTGTATTCCGGCCGGGAGAAGCCCAGGTGCCACTTTCCCACCAAATTGGTGGAGTAGCCCGCAGTTTTTAAGATTTCCGGCAATAAAGTGGCGTTGAGGGTCAGGGCCCAAGGCTCTTCGTTGCTGATCACAAAGTGCTGGGTGCCTAAGGTAAGCAGTTGATTTATTTATAATTTATGTAATAAAATATGGGAAATTTTGCATGCACCACTTATAAAAGTGACTCAAAGTAACATTAATAAGTAAATATTACGTCGGCTTATTACATGTATTCTTTGGAATTTTCTTCCTTCATTTGTCTCAATTTCTAACCTTGAACTTGCAATATTTTGAAAGTCACCCAGGATAACTACTTTTCAAACTCTAATTATGTAAATATGTAAAGATTTGATAATGTCTAAGATGTCAAAAAAATTTATAGTACTTTCTCAGTTTAGAGGCTGTAAAGCTTTTGTGATTTTAGTCGGACAATTTCAATGACGATTAGTACTTACCCGTGTGTATTGGATATCGTCCGCTAAGTAGTGCTCCTCGGGAGGGAGTACACATCGCCGGGGCGTAAAGTCGATCCAGCAGACGACCGTGATAGGCCAAGGCATCGATGTTGGGAGTTAGAAACTCCCGGCCACCTCGAAAGCTCACATCATCGAAGCCCTGAAATTTTTTTGTTTGTTTTAGAAATGAGTTGATTTATGGCCGCGAAACTAGTTCCACCATGTCATCGGCCATTATAATGATTATGTTGGGTCGCCGTGGTGCAGCAGCAGCAGCCTCATCCGACTTCACCCGTTGGAGGCAGAGTAAAAGCAGAAACGTTGATAAGGCCCACATTTTGGTTACTCAATTTCCGATTTGGACAAACACGTATTATTATTGTTCGACTGCCGCGTTCCGCTTGGCACGGCGGCTCCCGATCGACTGAAACCGCGAGGTCCACGTAACATCTCGCCTCGACTCGGTTTGGGTCTCGATCTCCCAATCTGTCTCCGCCATCATCGCCATCTCACTCCCAGATTCGGTCTCGCTCCGCTGTTCGATTCGGCATCGATCAAACCAAATTAGCAGCCTCAATCCACTTGATATAATTACTGCGCACCTCCAACAAAAGCAAACACAATAATTATAACAGCAAGTGTAAAAACGTAAATTTTAAGTGGATTTTTGTTGGAGACAGTTGAATAAACCTCAAACAAGTGGGGCAAATTCTATCACGGGTCGGTATAAATATCAAGGCGGATTAGTCATGATCAGTTTTATCAGAATAAACTAAGAATGACATTGGCAATGGAAAACATTCAAACAGCAACCATTTTGATTGAAAAGCCGGTCCTGAGCATTTGAGAAACCCCGAGTGTCAATAATTTTATTGTGGAAATTATAAAATGTATTCCATAAATATCAATATTTTCCATAAACCATCTTTGGATTTTTATCTCTTGAGACATTTAGAGTATCCAATAGTAAAGAAAGAAATTGATTGTGGAAATGTATTCCAGAGTTTTTAAAAGTAAAACAATAATTTCAAGACAAAGTTCTGATACTAAGTTTTATTCATACTCAGGGTAAGTAACCTATATAGGAATAGTAAAAGATCCCTTTACCCTGATATGATTTTTCAACAACAAACGAATTTTCAATTTATTCAAATATCTAGGATAGATCTAATAGATCTGAATACCACCAAACCTCTTATTTAATAATATTAACAAAACAAACGTTATATGTACAATACATGCCGTTTGGATACGACATGCAACAAAACAACGAATTACTTTAGTGCAAAAAGTTTTTGCTCTTTCTTTTTATTAAACTAAATCTTAAAGAGTAGTCGAACAGATGCATACTAACTATATAACCATCCATCTGGCTCCTGGGAGTCCAGAAATCCAGTGATTTATACTATAGGGACACTCACATACACACTATATTAGCTACACTCGCACACAGTAAAGGCATAACCTGATCCTGATCATGATCCCGTTCCCGATCACCACCTCGATCGCGATCACCAGACAAGGCTCCGCGCCGCCGCCGGCAGACCGCAGATGGCATTGTGGACGGGAATGGCTAGGAATCCGGCGAGGGCGATGCCGTAGGAGTCCGACTGGACCACCATGGCCATGGCGAACTGCTGCCGCTCCGGCGATATCTCCTTGGACATCCGATAGAAGGTGTTCACGTAGGCCCCGCCGCCCAGGAGTCCTTCCCACAGGACAATGACGAACACGATCCAGATGCTGGGCGTGTACCACCAGATGACCTCGGTGAGGAAGTAGACCACGTTCACGAACTGGAAGACGGACATTAGCCAGATCTTGTCCAGCTGGAAGAGGTTGACCGAGGAGCGCGAGATGAAGACACCGATTTGATAGTCCACGTTCAGCCAGCGATACTGCGAGTCCTTGTCCAGGAAAATGTCCTCGAAGTAGACCAGCTCGAACTGGAAGATTGGTTTATATTATTATGGAATTTTTGTTAATTTGTATTTTTAACATACCAAGCCCTGATTGATGAAGTACTCGAAGAAATACACCAAGCAAAGTGGCAGCATGTACTTGATCAGGTGTTTGATATAGAAGAACTTCTCCTTGAAACCGACTAGCGGCTTCTCATCGGTGATCAGGACTTCTGTGGACTCAACCGTGGTAACCGGCAGAATATCGACCTGCGGACGACGAAGCAGCAGCCAAAAGGCGAATGCCTCAATCACCGGAAAGATCAGCATAATCAGCATGGTGTCTCTGGGACTGAAGTCTAGGGATCTCAAACTGGCATAGCTCAAGGAACCGATGACTCCCGCTCCTCCAGTTCCGGATGACCAAGTGGATATCACATTTCTAAAGGAAAAATAATAAGTTGGGGAGATTATTTCGGGTTAATTTCCTTAGACAAACTCACTTGTTGTATCGCGAGGAATAGGCCAGAAAAGTAGTCTCTCCGATTCCGCTGCTAGCAGAAGTGATGATCACTCCCAACAGGGCCATCCATTCGGCATTTGCAAATCCAACTAGGAGAAACCCAGCTGCAGAAAAGGCAACCGCGAGGGCTATGCGAAAACTGGGAAAACGAAAGAATATTTATTTTCAATCTACATCCACATTTAAAAAAATTAGTAACATTATTATCCGAATTTCTATGAAACACATTCTTATAAAAAACAATCATAAAAAAGTAAATGACACACTTTTAATGCCAATGGGATTGGTTATTTTAAGTGGTTAGTTTGACTATACTTACTTGACCCAAAAAGGAAAGAAGGGCATCAGCATCTTGACAAACAATGAGGGAAGGACATCGGCCAGCAAAATGGCGCCTGTTGATACCAAATGGCAATTTCTTCCAGAAGAGCTCTCTTCTGTTTCATCATTCTGTATCGAAACAATATTTTGGATTATGTTATAAGATTGTCTTTGCAGAGAAATTTAATTTTGAAATTAAATTAAGATATTGGGTATTTGCTCTAAGTGTTTTTTTTTTCCTCACCGGATTAAACTGTTTGATGATATCGTGGGCAGCACTCAGCATCACCACATATCCGTAGTTGTTGCAAAGACCGAGGATCCAGTAGGAAGTCAGATCCCTCCATACTCCCCGATCTTTTCGAGAACTGTGTGAGGTATTCACAGGACTGACCACCACTTGAGAACCTTGATCGGCCTCGGCTTCCTGCTGCTTGCTCGCCGTCATTTTGAACCGGCCAACTAAAAAGAGGAAAATATTTTAATTATTTCCACTTGACCAATACAAAATTATCCATATGTTTATATTAAATTTTCATATTAAATACAAAATTATCCATATGTTTATATTAAATTTTCATATTAAATAAGATTTAGTTATTAATAAAAATCAGTTTGGCAAAAGCTTTTTATCTCTTAAAAAAATTAGAACCGCTTTTCGCTCTTTGAAAAAAAATGCACTCTGCTTGAGTTGTATTTCAATAAATAAATTATTTTTCACGCTTTTTTGAACTTGAAAAAATTATCGGTTTGGGAACTGCAAGAACGTGCAAACAAATGCTGAATTATATACCTGTTCGGTATATTGTAATTAAGTTAATTGAACTCTTTACGAGTAAAGGCGATCCTAACCAATGTGATGTCCTTTTTTATTGAATAATCTACACCATTTTACTTAAACAACAACTTACAACATTTTCTTTATAGGCAAAAGCTTTTTGAACTCTTAAATAACGATAATGCTTTTCTCTCTTTACAAACATTGCACTCTTTAGTTTGTATTTATTTATTGTGAACTAGTATTTGGCTAAATCGAAATTGTTTAATTTGTAAAGCTGAGCATGTGCGTCGGTGGTCTTGAACTTGACAAAATATGATCACTAGGGGAAGTCGCTAAAATAAGTTTCGTGGAAAATACGTGCAATTAATGCTAAATAGTATACATATTGTATTGAAGGTAGTAAAAGACAGCTGTTTAGCTGAAACTCAGGGTTTGACGGGTTAAAAGCCTAGTTATTTACATATATTTAAGTGCCTTGCGGCTTATTTTCACAGCACTTTTATTATAGTACTCATCTATTTGAATTTGTAATAAACAAGCAATATGAGTATATAAATAAAAATTTACATACAATGTAAATACTGTTCTATAAATCATTAATTGAAGCAAAAGAGGGAAATTAACTTTGTGGGACACTACCGAATATCATTTGGTATACATATATAGAGAAACAGTTTTTTGGCAATGATTTGTGCAGTGCAAAGTGCAGATTATTCGATTTGTTTACATCCGACAGAACTTGTGTCTCATGACTAAGTGAAGAGGAAGTAGGGACAATAAAAAATGGGAAACTATTCCGGTCAAAGCAGATATAGACCATCCTACTTATTCCCATATCACTTAACTAATTTATATTAACGCCCCTTACTGACACCTTTAATTATCCAAACCATTTGAGTTGACCTTGCCATTGTGTGAAATAAGCTAAGTACAAATCAAATTAAAAAATCAACAATTAGCAGCGAGTGCCGTTACCCAACAAAGGTTTAACAAACCAACTGGCAAGTAATTAAAACAATTTAACTGGCGGATTCGATTAGTTCGTGCTGAAATATATTAAGTTCAGGCAACCGCAATAGCTTCTTAGCCGTCTTGCATTTTGTTAGCAACTGACTCATCCACAAGATTCACTCGATCCAATTGCGAAGTTATGAAGTTGATGACCCACTTTGGAGTGCACTTTCTTATCCAATTACATTTGCTTTGTATCCAAAAAATTTGATACCCACCGAAATGTATTTCGAAATATCGACGGTAAATTGAGAATGATAGATGAACTTTTGCATGTCTTGCCTTGGACTTCAAAATAATAGCACAGCAAAAATTTGTGTCGATTCCCTTTCTTCGATGATCTTTTTTTAAATAACTGTTTTGCATGACTGGATATCATTATTTTGGTTAAATTTATTATTTTTTTACTTTCCATTTAAGAGAGTTATTGAGCTCTAATGTTTGCACTTATTAAAAAAAACACATTTAGAATACTTATATTTCTCATTTTTAATAAAAAGAGTTAGCGATCTTTTCTACTTAAAAAAAAACAATTTAAATTATTATTGTTTTAAGTAATACAAAATGTTCATTTTAAATAGCTTTTCTCTGTATCTATGTTTCTTAAAAGAAAAATCGCTTTAAGCCCAAAAAGTTTTTTATTAAACAAAAATACTAAAATGTCCTACTAATTAGAAATGAAGGAGGATGTCGTTCAAAATATTCATAAACTTTTATTTTTAAATTTTAAATTAAATTCGAAGAGTTATATTATTTTTTTAATTTTTGAAAACGCTTTTGAAACAACTGATCTCAAATTTTTGAGCACTTGAGAGTAGAGTCTTACATTCCTGGCACTATTTCCCGGCTATTTGGTTGTGAGAGTTCCGAGAATTATTGATAACAACGGCAACGACGACGTTTCGCGCTTCGAGGCGGCCAATGAGTGACTGAACCCTCCGAACGGAACGAGAACCAATAACAATCGGCGACAACAATAAAGCCAAGCGACTGGGACCCAAAGTGCGGGGTATCACGCGAGTTGCCAGCGGCAGCATAAAAAACTAAAACAATTGCAGATGCAACAAGTGCCAAAGTGCCGATCAGGCAGGTTGATATACGTAGATCGGCAGCAGGTAACACACATTACACATAAAATTTAATTCAATTCAATTCATTTCGATTCGATTGAGAAAAGCGGGGGAGTTGAGGTCGGTCAGCGAACGTCACGTTTTTCAGGTTGGCAAGTGCCTTTAATTGAAGTTAATACACTTATCAAGAGTAAGGAGATTACGATAAGATGTTTGAACCTTGTGAATGTTTATGGTGGGAAATTCGTATGAATCGTTCTTAACATTCGTTGATCCCGAGCAATCTGAAATCGAACTTGTATCGATTAGATTATCGAGATATTGTGTCACAAAAGATAACGATTCTATAAAGTGATCTTAAAGATTATTTATTATTTCTAGCCCTTGATTTTAGTTAAGTGTATTTTAAAACTCGTCTCTTAAATCTGTTAACACTTGTTGTTAGCTATTGTTAATGAAAAGTCAAAGCTCGTTTTAATTGCATTTTATTTTAAGTTAGGCAGCTTTAATGCGGATACCGTAGCTGTTGGCTTAATTGCTAGGTTTTGTATTACTGATATAAGCACTAATCGTTCGGTTAACGCCTATGGTTTTACTATCGAAGCACGTGGCGTATGCGTAATCTCAAAAAATTCTTAATGGTACAAAAACACCTGTTTTAAGGGCTAAGAAAAGCGTTTAAAAAAAATGTTGAATGAATTTAAAATTAAGTTAAATAACAACACGGCTAATTTGTTTCCATACTGTTTACACAAATTAACAATATAAAGGTTATTTAACTCAACACAATACGGTTCAGTTATGCAAACGGAATTTACCCGTCTAACTGGAAATACATGCTAATTTTAGAATAATTTATTTAACCCCGCAATGAAACGGAAATCTGTACACTTTTCGAGACACTTTCTATGGAAAGATGGCAATAAATTTGAGATAAAATGCAATAAACTGTTTCGCCCCCCGAGTGAATAACAAACAATAAAAGCCGTACATACACTGTCGAAGTATTTCCGGCTGCGACTTAAACCGCTCGAGCAATGAAAACCTACTGAGGACTTGTCGAATACGGGCCTAGATTACGGCCGTACAGACTGCAATCGACATTATCATTATCGTTAAGTGGGCAACAGATTAAATTACAGATAAGACGTTCACAGCATTGGGCCATATAAATCTTAAGATATCACTCGGCAACGGCATTTCTCGTATATGACAGGCTCTGGCCAACAGAAAGGGTAATCAAACCATTGCACTGATGAAGTTGCGAAGTGATGGCCATAAACTTGCTCTCTCTTTATCTTTGGCAGTACACTTAAATCTAATTATCGGACCTTGCCGAGAGTGCGGGCCATAATAAATTCAAGGGGTTCGGGGTTAACTTTACCAAAAAATATTAAACGGTATGCCGTTTAAATTAAATCCGTTTCGCGCTCATTTAGCACGTACGGAAACCGCCAAAACCAATTTCACACCGCAGCCGCAAAGCAGGGAACACTTTTTTACATTGCCTCTGGGTTATACATTGCATTTCAAAATAAAACTTGTTGTTGACAAATTGCAAAATAAAGTGGTTGAGGCTGGCTGCTGGTGGGAAAAAGGGAAACCCGTGTTCACTGTTGTAAATAATTCACAATTGGCTGTCAATTTCGAGTCACTCCAAAGTTGTCCTCCCTGCAAAGGGAAAGTATCCCTTTATGGGGCAAACTATGGCCCATGAGACGGCCTGTTGACAGCAAGATTGAGCTGACAAATTGTTAAGGCAATTTATTATAGTAATGTGTAGAGGGATTCCGGAACGCCAGTGACTGCTGTTTGGCAAACATTTCTGCCAGTTGCAGTTTTGCAGTCGGCAGGGAGTCATTTAAGAAATATATTCGCTTCAAAATATTTGACGCACTTGTGTAAATACACACTATTTAAATAGTTTAAGTTCTAAAAAAAATTCAAAAATATAGAAAGCCATATTGTAGATAATCATTTAAACTTCATCCTCTTCTCTTTTCAAGATGAAACTATAAAAGCCATTACCTTGCGTCTCATTCTGTTTTTTTACCCTTTCATACTCAAAATGTTACACTATTTAATAGTTTGTCCGTATAGATGGTCACCCAACTCCACTTAATAATAAATATTGTACAATCAATTTCGATAAAGCTTTGACACATCTCTTCTAATATCTGTCGCCGTCGGCCAAATTCATTAAAATAACATAAATCATGATGAGGCAAAATGTGATTGATGTGGTGGGAAAACTACTGATTTCGGTTGGGGTGGAAAATGCGGAAAACCAAGCACACAGTTGTTAACTGTTTCTAATAGGCCGTATTAGGCCCACATTCTGTTATCTACCATTCACACGTGGCATCAGGGGACAAAGTTTTCAATTCAGAATAAGCCTGCAACTGTGGCTGGGCATAAAAATGGAAATAAAATGGCCAGAAAGGGATGAATAAAATCATTTCCAAAAGTGTAAATGGAGAATAAAAAGTAACCGCCAAACACGAAAAGTTTTTAATGCAAATACGAAAATCGCATGGAAACATGGCCACCGCCACCAAGTCCTTTGAAATCCCTCCATCCTTCCCTCCGTTTAACGAGGCGTGCTGCAATTTTCCGGCGCAAAAACAGGAAGTGAGGAAAAGCGTGTTTGCCCCTGCATAATTTTGCGATGCGAAAAGTTAACGCAAAGTGTTTTTATTTTCTCCTGGGTGCAAATACTATATAGCTTATAATGCAGCTTAAAGGGACTTTAAAGCACTACGATTGAATGGTGTGTCGGGTGAAAAAGCGCTTCCAGGCCAGTTCCACTAGAAGGATGATCACCACCAGGATATCTGCACAGATCAGCATGAGGAGCAGAGGAGCCACGTACTCCATGCCCACCGTAATCACGAAATTCTGGGCCACGCAATGGAGCTTCATGTGGACCCAGTAGCTGCGCTGCTTTCGATAGACGCCAGTTTCCAGGACTCTAAGAAGTCTGAAATATATTAGTGTTATCAAATCTGAGTAATTTTTAAATATAAAAAAATATTTGTAACACTTTTAGGCCTTTATAAATGCATTCAATTAAGATATCGCATATTAAGCACTTTAGTTCAGTTCAATTGTTAAGAATAATGTGATAAAACATTTTTTTTCGTCACCGATTATTAAAAAGAGATACAACTTAAGTAAAATAAGTTATATCTCTTCAACAATAATTTCTCACCGAAGTCTGAAGAGCTCCTTGTACGTAGAGTTGCGATGCAAGTGCGTATAGAATAATTGTTCGGGTCTGAATAAAACCTCATTCAAATCGCAAATCTGTTGGGCTGTAAAGTAACGCTCCACATAGGCATATCCAGAAGAGGTCTCGAACACGAAGACATATCCCGGATTATCCCTTACCCTTAAAACACCCTGTTCAGCGGGCAACCAAAGCTCTGGATTCTGTGCCTGCGTTTCGATCTTTCGCTTTATAAACAAATGGATCTCAGGAAGTCTCGAGTACTGGAACAAATAATACTTTATATAGTGAACAAGTTAAATAGAGTACTAAACCAACATTTAAATAGCTCTTGGTGAAGGGTAGTGGCTCCAACCCAACGGTCAGTGGACTTTCCGCCAGCTGCTGCATTGTCTTGATCTTTGACTTAACGGGTGAACTGAGCAGCGACGAGACCACCACCGAAGTGTAGTAGTTATACATGATAAAGCTGATCAGAAACAGGGCGAAGTATATAAGTCTGCCTCCAGCGGAACGTGGAATCAAGGACGAACTCTGGATACAAGCAGCTCCAAAGCTGATCAGGAAGGTACTCAGCAGCGAGGGCAGGTAATCCAATCGCCAGCGTTTTCGCATCCGCTTGCATTCCATATAAAAGGTGATCCACAGAAGGATACCGATTAAGGAGAGTACGCCGCCAAAGAGATACCATACCAATGGACTAAAGGGCTGGAGGAACACGTCTCCCCGTAAACCAGCATTGTGAGGAGTCCGGAAAATGCACACCGATCGGAAGAAGCCCGTCTCAATAATGGCGGACAGATACTTGAGCCTGCCTTCGGTGGCCAAAGAAGGCGTGGCCGTGATGTCCGCCGTCTGATCCACGATGGCACCCACTGAACCACCCACCACATCGGATTTACTCCAGCTATCCGAGAAGATGAACTTCATCCTGGAAAAATCGGTTAAGAGATGTTTCAATCCCCGGAACGCCATTCTTACTTGCAGTGTAGCTGATCTCTTAGGATTAGAGTCAGGTGGAATCCGAATCTGACCAGTGAATCAATGTGGGTGTCGTTCTCCTGGCTCAAAAAACTTATAAGTTCGTCATCCGACAATGTTAGTGGACGTTGAGTGACCACCGTGGCCACTAAAAGAGAGCTTTTAGTAACACTCTTTAAAAGGTAAAGTACTATCTTACCCCTTAGGACAACATCAGTTAGCTGTTCTCTGTTTCCATATTTAGAACGCTGTTGCAAGGTACTCAAATATCGAATCCTCTGACACTCATTGGGGTCACAAGCCATTTCATGGGATCCAGTCATATTCAGCTGACCGCCAATGATTTTACCATTGTTGTAGACATCATAGACGGCAAAGACAACCGAAGAGTTGTTTTCCTGGCTTTCCTCCTTCACATAACTGACATCCGCATCAATAGATAGGTTAAATGGGGAAAATAAATCATAAAAGTCCAAAACAGACTGGTTGCCATGCAAAAGCCAATGGTAATGCTGATTGTACAGCTGGGCTCGACTAGCCTAATGTAAAACAGAACTGCAGATCAGTAAAATATAATATTATGTTGTAAAGAACCATACCTCCTCTAACAATTCCTGGGCCTGATCGCACTTTATATCCACATAGATGCCCAGAGTGGGTTGCAAATGACCCATGTAATTTAGCTCTAAATGTGACCAATTTTGAACTCCCTTCATTTGAACAAACTGATGATAGAAAAGGAGGGGATGGATGGGTTTGATGAACTGCTGAGCAAACTGAAGACCTGAAAAAGAGTAAAAGAGGTTAGCCATTATTAAAAGGATATAAAATATTCCTTCCCACTTTCATCCCGCTGCCAACAATGAAAGAAAACAATGAATCCGATTCGCGACTGCACGAGATTGTCCAGCACAAAGTTGGCCAACTGCACCAGCTGCATTGTTGACTCTTTCACTTTGATTTTCCAGGTCGGAGGTTCCTTTTTATATGTTTACAAAGTCCCCCAATTTAACTGTCATCGATGTGCGTTGTTTGTTTTTAAATTGCCCGAAATTGCCCGTCAATTGCCAATGACCTTGGCCTGGGCTGCTCACCTTAATGTAGCGTGGAATGGCGGTGCCAAATGACCTCCAATCCCAGCACGCCCACACAGAGAATGATCGCTCCTAGTAGAAGGATGAACAGGGGAGCAGCGTACTCCAGACCCACTGCTACCGTGTGATTGTGCTGGTAGCAGTGGAGCTTGGTCTGCATCCAATACCGCTCGTGCTTGAAGTGAATCCCTGTCTCCGACATCCGTAACTCACTGAAACAGGGAGCGAAGAATAATTATTCTTCTAAATTTAAAAAACTAAAGATTTTTTTTAGAGACCATCACAGCTGTTAAAATGACCCTGTGATGTCGAATAACTCATTTACTTCACCACATAACAAAATGATTAAAGTTTGTGGAATAATAATCAAAACATGAACCCATATATTATATTTTAGTAAAAATAGCTCTAAACAAAGATGGTAAGTTTTTTTGGTAATCTTTCATAAAATATCTATTATTACCAAAATGCTTGGCAATTTTCTTAGAGTGTATTTATTTGTAATTTTTGTGATTAATAAATGGCGGACTCTTCACATAAAGGGGTACCTATATGGACATTTAAAGCCCCATCATGTAATACTCAACTAAATAATAACGCGAATTCTTTAAAACAATTAATAAAGTAAAACAACTTGAAAACTAAAACTTGGACTTAAAGAAATCTAAAAATTGACTTACATTTTAATTTAAAACAAGAAAGGAAAGCTAACTTCGGGCGGAGCCGAAGTTGATATACCCTTGCAGAATTCTCTATAATAATATTCTCCAAAATTATTCCTATGATGCATTCTTAATACTCATAAAAAATCCAAACTTCCTAACTTTAAAAACACCAAAGTTATGGCATTTCGAATCGTTCAGTTATATGGCAGCTATAGGATATAGTCGGCCGATCCTTATGAAATTTGGTAGGTCGGATTGATTGGCCAAATATAAAACCTGTAGAAAATCTTAACTTTCTAACTTTACAAACACCAAAGTTATGGCATTTCCAATCGTTCAGTTATATGGCAGCTATAGGATATAGTCGGCCGATCCTTATGAAATTTGGTAGGTCGGATTGATTGGCCAAATATAAAACCCATAGAACATCCCAACTTTCTAACTTTACAAACACCAAAGTTATGGCATTTCCGATCAATCAGTTATATGGCAGCTATAGGATATAGTCGGCCGATCCTTATGAAATTTGGTACGTCGGATTGATTGGCCAAATATAATACCCATAGAGAGTCCCAACTTCCTAACTTAACAAACAGCAGAGTTATGGCATTTCCGATCAATCAGTTATATGGCGCTATAGGATATAGTCGGCCGATCCCGGCCGTTCCGACTTATATACTGCGTGCAAAGGAAAGAAGGTGTGTGCAAAGTTTCAATTCGATAGCTTTAAAACTGAGAGACTAGTTTGCGTAGAAACAGACAGACGGACAGACGGACAGACGGACAGACGGACATGGCTATATCAACTCAGGAGGTGATCCTGATCAAGAATATATATACTTTATAGGGTCGGAGATGCCTCCTTCACTGCGTTGCACACTTTTCACCAAAATTATAATACCCTCTGCAAGGGTATAAAAACAGTGTTATAGTCAAATTAATCGTTATGGATTCTAATGTTTACCCACTTTAGTTTGAATAGCTCCGCATATGGGGACTTCTTTGCCACAACCGAATGAGTATGGGAGGCGTCGCGCAATGGAATCTCGTTGAGCTCGCAGATCTGGTGGGGCAGGAAGTACTTCCTGACAAACTCGTAGCTCGTAGCCACTCCGCATATGTAGACGAAGCCCTCCTGATCCCGCACCAACTTGACCCCAGCTTCGGTGGGAATCCAAATGCGATCTGGCGAACGTTTGCCGCCCAGCACCTTGTTCCGGTACAGACTGCGCACATCCGGCTCCTCGGAGGTCTCCACATAGGTGCGGGTGTAGACAGTTGGCTCTATGCCCACCTCCAGGCTGCTGTCCGCCAGTTGCTGCAGAGTCCGGATGCTCGACTTGGATGGCTGACCCAACAACTTGGACACCACAATGGACGTGTAGTAGTTGTACATCAGGAAGGAGGTCAGCATCAGGGCAAAGAAGGCCATTCGACCGCCCATCGATCGCGGTGTGAACCAGGCCCCCTGAATGCAGCCAGCTCCGAAGGAAAGGAGGCAACTGGTTAGTAGCGACGGCATCCACTCCTTCCGACGCTCCAAAATAAAGGTGATCCAAAGGAGAAAGCCAGCCAGCAGAAGTAGAAGCGCGAATGTCAGCCAAACTCCCCCGCTGAAGGGTTGCAAAAACTCGGTGGCACTCAGGCCAGCGGACACGGATCTGGGATTCCGAAACATGCACATCTCCCGGAAAACACTGAACTTTGTGAGGGGTTGCAGAAATATGCCACGATCAAACGAGTAGATGAAAGGAGCTATTGCTAAATCAGCCACATCCAGGATGAGATCGCCGATCATGCCGCCTGTTGCATTGCCATCCGACCAGCGATCTCTAAATATGTACTTAAACCTAGTGGTTACACTTGCTGTAGTTTACAAATTTTCAGACTCATTTCAGCCAATTCCTTACTTGCAGTCCAACATATCCCTCAGGGGTTGTCGGGCTTGATAACCCAATCTGCCGTATGTGTCCAGGTAAAGTCGATCCTTGGCCTCCATAAACTCAAAGATCTTCTCTATAGAGCTGTTCAGTGGTAAAGCGGTCACCTGTTTAAAACGATTATTTAGTAGACAGTATAATCTCTGAGCAGATATACATACTACAGCAGTGGCCCTCATGGTTAATCCCGTAAAGGACTTTCTGTGCTGCAGGAGATTCCTTGTGTGAAGATCACTCAGATATCGCTTAACTCGACACTCTCGTTCATTGCAGTTAATTTCCCGATCGGCTGTTATATTTAATGTTGCACCTAGTTGCCTTCCCTTGTTGTGCAAATCGTAGAGTATGAAGTTTTCTGTGTTAGGATCATGCGTGACATAGGTCAGATCAGTATCAACAAAGAGCTGGGCCTCCTTGAAATGAGTTTCTATTTGGGAAAAATCCATTGATGTATCGTAGATGAGCCAATGATAGCGATGACTATAAAGTCTCTTAGCACTGGCCTGTAATTTTTCATTTCTCAAATAGTTTTCCAAATAATAAAGCCCTGTTACTTGCCATTTTCAAAACAACATCGCTTTGATTGCAATTGATATCCAAGAACACGCCCAACTTTAGAATATTGTGATTAAGAAAGTTATCATTTAAATGAAGTGACGAGTCTAGTGGTTGAAATTGAGTGAAAACATTTTTAGACTGTGCCAACGTCGCTAAGTGTGCAAGTGCTGAAATGAGAAGATTAAATCAAATATCAGAGAATTACCACAGACAACTCACAGTCCATTGACCAGCAGTGCAATATGAAGACGTGACTCAATTTGGCCATGTGAATAAAGTTGTATAGAATAAAATTGTGCAATTGCAGCATGTTAAAAACTCGAACAAAGAACTTGGCAATTAATGATACTGATTATGAGCCAACTCGGGCTTTTATAGGGCACTCATAATACCACCATTAGTCACATAATCAATATACAATAAGTAATCGTTGACTGAACTTGACTTGACAATTTAATGGGTATGCGAAAATAGGTATCGACAGTTCCTGTCAAGTCCAATCAAAGTGGTAAGGCAATGGGACCAATTTTCAGGCAATTTAAATGGTTAAGAAGGGAAAACCTTCTGCCACTCACCAAGATTAATTACATTTATCCAGTTACTGATTCTAGGGGAAAATGGTGAACAATTTCTTTCTGCCATAACGGGCCCAGCAGATTTCCAGGATCAGGATCAGTAAGGCCAGGATGTAGGCCACCAGCAGGGAGATAAACAAGGGTGCGGCATACTCCATGCCCACTTGGATCAGGAAACTATTAGAGAACGTGTGCAACTTCGGCTTGCTGAAGAATCGACTCTGCTTCGAGATGATTCCGGTTTCCAGCATGCGCACCTGCAACTGGGTGAGCAATTGTCGATAGGTGGAGTTCAGGTGCACCATTCCGTAGACGGCGCTCTCCGGTCGCAATTTGATCTCATTCAGATCGGATATCTCCTGCGGCAGATAGTGCTTCTCCACGAAGTGATACATGAAGGAGGCCTCCGATGTGTAGACAAATCCCGGCTGATCTCGCACCCGGAGCACACCCTCCTCCGGAGAAAGCCAGACGCTATTGGGATCCCGCTTGCTCTCCACCTTCTGTTTGTACAGGCTGCGAATATCTGGACGGGGCGAGGACTGGAATATGCTTTTATTGATTAACGGATTTCCTAAAAAATGGAACAGAGAATTCTGTTCCCAATAAACACCTCTCGAAAATATATTTTTGGTACGTTTTAGATCAAATGACAAATGTTTATAGATATCATTTAGATATGTATTTTAAAATGAAAGATAAAAATCTCTTTTAGGAAAATTATGATCAAATATTTTCAAAAATTAATATATTCAAATAATTTAGTTTAATTTAAACATATCTACGTAATAATAAAGAAATGTTAAGAACTGGACCATTTTTAAGACATCTTATGATTTTCGAAAGCAGCTTATTATTACTATCATTTACTTTCCGATATGATAGTATGAGTATAAATTAATGGAGGAAATGACAAAATTTCAAAAAGATACATTTCAAATGGTAAGGAAATCTAAATTTAATTTTGGAAAAATTAATAGTGTTAAGATATTCCTCAATCAATATTTGTTGTTATAGGAATATTTTAGAATTCTTCCCAGAAGACACCGATAATCACACTCACCACCAGATACGTCTTTGTGAACGGCACCGTATCGAAGCCCACGTCCAAGGAGCTGTCTGCCAACTGCTGGATGGTCCTGATGTTCGATCGCACTGGAGATCCCAGCAGAGTGGACACCACAATGGACGTGTAGTAGTTGTACATGAGGAACGAGGTGAGCATCACGGCAATGAAGGCCAATCGCCCGCCAGCTGACTTGGGCATCAGATAGGAGCCCTGAATGCAGGCAGCCCCGAAACTGATCAGGCAACTGCTGAGCAGCGAGGGAATAAAGTCCAGACACCGCTGCATCCAATGCCGCTCCAGGTGGAAGATCAGCCATAGCAACACCCCGGCAAAGATCAGGAGTCCGGCGAAGGCGAACCAAACGCTCGGCATGAAGGGCTCCAAAAACACGGCTGCCTTGATCCCGGCATTGTGTGGAGTGCGGAACATGCAGACGGCCCGGAATTGGGCCTGCTCCGTCATGGGATGGACGTAGTGGAGGCGATTCCAGGAGGGAACGAACGGAGAAGTACAGAGCTCGGCCGATTCATTGGTCAACATGCCAATAGCTCCGCCAAATGCATCTTGAACGCTCCAAGTGCCACACCAAATGTAGTGCAGCCTTAAAAATGCAGGGACGTTAGTGGTTTAAAATTACGACTAAAGCTAAGAAAACCTAATGGATAAATATGAAATATTTATTATATTAAATAAATAATATAGGATCAAAATTCCAAGGCACCATAACTCAATGATTTCATCTAAAACTCTTTTACAAGGTATATGTATGGAAATTCGTTTTAAATTAATTTAGTAATATAACATTTCTAATATGTATTTTCATTAAATATATACAATCAAACCACCAGTTTTTATACCCTTGCAGAGGGTATTATAATTTCAGTCAAAAGTTTGCAACGCAGTGAAGGAGACATTTCCGACCCTATAAAGTATATATATACTTGATCAGCATCACCAGGAGAGTCGATCTAGCCATGTCCGTCTGTCCGTCCGTCTGTCCGTCCGTCTGTCCGTCTGTCCGTCTGTCCGTCCGTTTCTACGCAAACTAGTCCCTCAGTTTAAAGCTATCTGCTTGAAACTTTCCCAAAAGTTGTCTTTCTATTGCAGGTAGTATATAAGTCGGAACGAGCCGGATCGGGCCACTATATCATATAGCTGCCATATAACTGAACGATCGGAAAAGCCATAACTTTGATGTTTTTAAAGTTAGGAAGTTGGGATTTTCTATGGGTTTTATTTTTGGCTAATCAATCCGACCTACCAAATTTCATAAGGATCGGCCGACTATATCTTATAGCTGCCATATAACTGAACGATTGGAAATGACATAACTTTTGTGTTTTTAAAGTTAGGAAGTTGGGACATTTTATGAGTATTAAGAATACATCATATGAATAATTTTGGACAATAAAATTTATAAAATATTCTGCAAGGGTATATCAACTTCGGCTCCGCCCGAAGTTAGCTTTCCTTTCTTGTTTATTTATTAAATTAATATATCTAAGTCATTGCTTCACTATATAAATAAATCGATACTTAAGAAAGCTCATCTATATATTTTATTATTTAAAAATCTTTCTTATATCACTTACTTGAAACCGAGAACTTCCTGAGTGTGCAGAATAAGCCGATAGCCAATGCGAGAAATCGAGTCCATATGGGAATCCCTATCGCTATTCAGAAATTCAAGAAGTGCCTCTTCACTGGAATCAATAGGCAGCACAGAAACCTGAAGGGAAACCATTAATCCTGTGGTTTTTATTTCACTTTTTAGTCCACCCACCAAAGCGGCCAATCGAAAGGTCACGCTCGATAAATCCAAGCGGTGCTGCTGTCTAGTTCGCAGATGCAAATCACTGAGATAATCCTTAACCTGACAGTGACTTTGATTGCACTGAAGACGTTGGTCTACGGTGATGTTGAGATGGCCTCCCAAGTGGCTCCCCTTATTGTAGACATCGTGCAGAACGAAGACCTCCTCATCTTGCCGACTTACATAGGTCACATCCGCATTCAGACTAAGATTGGCTCCCTCAAATAAATCAATCAACTTGGTGAAGTTACCTGCCTCATCGTAAAGCAGCCAGTGCAAATTATTGTTATAAAGGCGCGCTTGACTAGACTGTATGAAGAAAAAATGTTTAGTAAGACTATAATGAAACATTTTATATAGAAATAAAAATTTGATTAGATTTTAAAAGTAGGTGTAAATACAAATTATAAATAAAGTACTGAATAATACAAAATAATAAAATGTCTATTTAATTTAAGTTTATTAAAACTCCTGAAATAAAATTTGTAGTCCTGTAATATTGATAAAAATATTCTTAAAGACCCACCTGATTAGTAATGAATTCAGCCTGGTCGCAGTCCAGGTCTAAAAAGACACCTAACCTGACTAAATCACTATCCAAGTAGTCCTTGTGGATGTTGGCCAAGTTTTCGGGGTCCTGTTGCAGGTCAATGTATTGCGAATAAATGCCGTTCTCATTTAGCATTTCAGCCAGAGGAAATGCCTCTAAAATTTATGATTTCAATCCAATGGGAATGTTGAAATATTCATATGAAAGTGTAGCAAATCTCACCCTTTATCGACCAGCAGTGAAATACCATCAGATTACTCAAATTGATTTCCAGCAGATTGAAAACAATCAGGCGAAACAAAGGTAAGCTAGCCATCTTGACCGGGTTTTTCTAGATTTTGGCCAGACGTCTGACCCTTTTATAGTCCCAAGCTGCAATGTCCAACGAGGCCAATTAAGTCATTAGACTCAAATTTTCGGGGCTAGTCATCAAAGTTGAGATTTTTGATTGGCAGGTCAGTCGAATTTTGGGACCAATTTCAGCCAGAAATACCCCGAACAAAAAGCAACAAGTGACTTGGAAAAAGGGCGCCTGCGCAGGATTCGGTAGCGTAAACAAAAGTGCAGGAGGGATTTATGAATGAAAGGCAGAAAGGTGGGTGGGTGCTAATGGATTCCTGAGCCGGGCTGATGGGGGTGGGATTGTGGGTCAGGAGGGCAGCGCCGCAGGCTTTAGTGATTTTGCGCCTTTTGCATGTTGCCCCACGATGTCGTCGCTGCACAATTCAATCTTCTGACTTGGTTGGTCTCAATATCATTTCGGCTCAGTCTGCGTTGCGCGCTTGGCGCGTTTTGACGTATCTCCGAATCTCCGCATCTTTCTCTGAATATCCGCTCGGTCCCCATTTATGTTCAGTTCGATTCGGTTTGGTTTGGTTTTGCCTTGGTTGGTTTGCCAGTTTGTTTATTTTCGCCGCCCGTCGTCGCCGTAATTGTCGTTTGGCTCTGGAGATTTGTGTGTATTTTTGGTATGATTAGTGCGTTTAGATTCAAGGCAGCCACGAAGGCTGAAAAAACACAGCTGGATATGATAATTCTGGAGTGTGTGTGTGGTATCATTGCGTGTGAAAAGTGACTACAAATCTTTACCAAGTTTTAAATAATACGCCTACAAAAAATTTACAACAAATAAAAATATTCAAAATCTGAAGAAAAATGTTTAATTTGTATGAATCTTACCAACAAACCTAGCTGTGCTTATAAATTGAATAGCAAAAAATTAATTATTGTAATTTTGACAAATTGAATGAAACAAGATTTTAATAAATTTAAACATAACACGCATCAATAATTCAGCATTGTTTAAAATTTACATAATTTGCTTTATTTTTTTCCCAGAATGTAATAAGGATGTGGATAAAATAGATTTTCTTGAAATATGTAATAAATTCGGTTAAAAATAAATGTCTAATACCTAAAGTAAAGGTCTAATTCGTCTCAATTTTGTGTGTATTTTCAAATAAATTTTTATTTAGATACAAAACTAATACACCTTTTATTTCTACAACCATCATTTTATTCCAAAAAAATAAAATTTTGTAAATCACATATAACTCAAATGGGGACATCTTGGCGTATGCGTGATATTTATATAACGACAATTTTTAGTCCTTGAATATACGTAAATTTAAATTTATGGATTTAAAAGTTTGTTTGTTAATTGCAAAATACCTTTTTTTGTGTTTTTTCATAACCAATTGCATTATATTGTATTATAATGTATTATTAAGAAAAATGAAGTTATTTATCTGTCGTTTCTTGCAAGTGCTTAAAGCGTATATTTATTAGATATCTCTGGGAACATGGCAAACATAAATCCATGAGATTCTCTAACCAACGGCCTCTAATTGACCTGTCAAATACTAATTACATAACCCTACCACAATTTCCCTTTCACTTCTGTGTTTCCTCAATTGAGTGCCAATTAAACTGTCTAAATCAACCTAATTAACAATGTCTTTATAACCAATTTGGAATAAAACATTTTAAAAGTGATAATAGTAAATAAACATCCAAATCAGAGCATTCCATTAGAGACAAATTGAGCATTGGATAAATACATTTGCAATTAAAAATAAATGCTACAGCTCGTTTGAAAAAAAATAAAACCAAATAACACATTAAGAATCAATTGAAATGTGGTCATCCGCACTGGGCCAATGAATGAAAAATTCAGAATAAACCACAAATATGACATTTTGGAAAGAAACAACTAAAACAACACGAAATACAGACTGAAAACTGCATTGGGTGGCGGAGACTGCAGACATTGAGTGCAAATAAAATGCAATTATCGCTGATTTAAACGGGCATTAGAGAATCATAAATTTTTCATGAGCACCACATGGCCACAGGGACGAGGGCAGAAAATTTACTCCAACACCCGCAAATAATCCACCAGAGGATTTTGGTAAACCAGCAGAACGAAAACGAACTATTAACAAAAACCATTTACTGGGGGATGCGGTTTGGCGACGGCAACTGTATAGAAAATAGCAAATAAAAGAACGAAACGATTTTGAGAAGCAATTGTTGGATCGCCAGCAGTTTAATTTATTTTATTGTTATTGATTATCAAGCATGGACGTGGATTTTGTCAAGTTTTAAGTTAAACACACAGTGTATTGCCAATGTATTATCGACTGAGCAATTATCTTTAGAAAACATTAAAGATTTGCAAACTTTGGCTGATTTGCATATTTTGAAAATCGTACGCGATAACCAATATTTCAAATATGGCTAAAAAAACTCATTTGAATTTTTAAATTCAGCAGATAAACTTATGATTAAATCGTTTATAAATGGAAAGATAGTAAATTGTCTATTAAACCATTTGTGGGCAAATGCAAGCATAAATTAAAAGCATCTGTTAAATTGATTTATTTATTTTTAAGGTTTTTTTAATATCTCAGAGACCGGTAAATAATTTTCCTCGTTATCGCATAGTTTTAGGTTGCCTTAGCCGAGTTTTTATGTCATCTTGTTTTGGTATCCGGTCTTTCAAAAGCTTTTATCTTTTTTGGCAGATTTTGCATTTTTTTGTTGACACCGCTTGAGGCTACGAAACATCGCTTAAATAGAAAAAATGCAAAGCATAAAAAGCGGCAGTTGCGGCATCTCACTCTTGAGATTTACATTGTAAAGTGATCCGAACCCTCGTTTCCCCTGTCGTCTATACAATGTGTAGTATGCGATGCAGGCCCACAAAAAACTGCATTTAAATTAATTGAATTTTGTACATTTTTTGTTGGTCAGAGGGTCTGTCTAAGGCCCACAGCCCCGACAATCCTGTCCTTCGGTTCTATTGCTCTTATTGAATTGGTTTGGGGATTTGTTGGCTGACCCACAAGTCAAGATTGTGGCGTGTCTGTTGAGGCAGGGGCACCACAAGTTTACTTAGGCGTCGTCCGAATGCGTTTTGTGTGTCATTATTTCAAAGGGAGCGGAGTGGAAGGCTCTTCCATTTCCATTTTTTGTATGCTCTGCTCACGACTGGGCTTCGCCTGCATTTGTGTTCATTAAATTTGCAAGTAAGTTGAAATGTTTTTGTTTACTTCCACAACTGGCCTTCTAAGCCTGGCCAAATGGAATGTTCAAAAATTATAAATGAGTTTGCATTCCCATTTGTGAGCTATTGCAAAAGTGCCGAAATGGTTTTCTACTCTGAACTAATAGTATTATTTGGTTTAAACTTATTCGCTTCTGGTAACTGAGTTTCGATAATTATTTCTTTTTATTTTTATAGTCAGCTTTTCTATGCTTTTCTTTCTTTAGGTTTAATAAATTTAGTTAATTTTTTCTTTAATTTTCATTGATTTGTGATGCTGTTAGTGTAATTTCGATTTCGAAAGTCAAAGCTAGAGTTGAATAATACAATTTTACAACCGCTTCTATCACTTCCACAGCTAATGGTATATTCTTTTCCATTTTCCATCAGAAACGCAGAACTGGTTTCGATACTTTTATTACCTTGAACGCATTTTTACAACCTTAATAGAATTAATAATATTTTAGCTCCTCTTATAAAACATTTCTAATTCAAAACTGCAGCATAAGCTATCAATAAATTCAAATTTGTTACATTAACTGGAGTCTATGTCCTGAAAATCGGTTACCGAACAAGGGAACCCACTTAGCAGAGACAAGAGCAAACATTTGTGCATTATAATGCCCCGGCAAGAGCGATTCAGCTGCATTTCACGCTTCCCTAATCCTCGCCAGCTCCCTTCAACAAACATTTCCGCAGAACGTGAGCCAGTTAGGGGGGGCAAATCCGACAGGGGGCAAAAGCTACTGGAAGTTGGGATCGTGGATTCCGGGGACTGGGAACTGGGCACGTGCTTGTCGCTTGACTGTGAAATAATTAGTGCAATTGCATTGGCCTGGGGCCATAAAGTTCGCAGTGGGGCAATTGCAAACTGACCACAAAAACGAAATTTCTGACTTTCGTGTAATTTAAATGCCACTTTAATGCTACTTAGGTTAACTGGAAAACTTACGGCATCGTTCTCATTCCCATTTGCACACGAAAGGCCACAAAACCGTGAAATAAGCTGCTCATATATACATTTATTATTCCGCAGGCTTCTGTGGGCTGTGGCCAAATTGAAATGCGCTTCTCATTTGCCAGCGAACAAATAATAAAGCCAACAGAATGCCCCCAAATTTTCCATTTAAACCACCTGCTGCTGGGGCTTCCGATGAGCCACAAAATATAGTGGGACGACCCCATAATGCACCCACAGATAGGCACCAGATGCCAGGCACATCAGCCAAATAAGGAACTCTCTTTGTAGTTTTGGGGGAAATCCGGCATATGCAATACCCTTCACTTTCATCGCTGAGATAAATCTTGTAATAAATAAGTCTATTGGTTGCGGAGAAAAATGTATGCCTTGTCATTAAGGTTGTTCAAAGACGATTGGCTTAAAATTAATTAAAAACTAATTTATAGTAGTAAAGCTAGAGTAAAAGACTTTACAAATATGTGTGGTGCTGAGTGGAAAATAATATTATTGAATTATACAATGGGTTTACTAATGAACTTAACTTAATCATATTTATACGGTTTAAATCATACAGCAAATAAATTGCAGAAAAAAATGTTACTAGTCATAGTGGTTGAAGTAAATACTGACAAGTTCCTATCAAATGGCAATCAATTCTAGCAAGGTCCATAGACCAACTATGATACTCTGCATACCCTCCTTTTTAAGTGGACGCTTTTTAACAATGCATTTCCTTCCTTCAAAAAAAAAAATATGTGGCAAAATATTCCTTAGCAGGCAAAGGGTATAAAAGGAAGGTTGAGGGTGCGGGGAAGCGAACCGTCAGCAGCCTTCAAAAATTGAGTGCAATTTCGACGCTGATGAGAAAATGCGTTGAACGTGCTCAAGTTGTCCTCTGTGCCAAACCGAGGAAAATTGTGTGGGAGGCGTCAAAAGTGGGTATTCCTACATTTAACTTTAACCCGTTCGCAGCAGTTAACAAAAGGCGATGAAAACGAAGACGGCTAAGCTAGAAATTATAAACGAAAAGGGACGTCCAGACATCGTTGGATGGGGTTCTCGGGGACGTCTGTTGATGTTTGTGCTTCTGGCAGCAATTTGTTTGTTTCACGAAATCTGCCATCAAAAAGCAAAGTGAAGTGTAATTAACAGCCAAATAGAGCCAAGCATGTGGTTCAGATTTCACGGCAGACAACAAATGAGATTTTATGGGACTCCTGCTTAACTTAGCAAAAATTATCTGGGTGAAATACAGAGTTTATCATTATAATAGTTGGGAAGAACGCTGGTAATGAAATTATATATTCTTTCTTAGTCGTTGTTTTAAGCTGAGAAAACTTTGGCAGTATAAAATGTATTTTTATCTTATTATAATCTCATGAAAACGGGTCTCATTTTAAGCAAAATTAATAAGCTTCGAATGGTTATTATAATATTTTTTTGTAATCCATTTCTTAATATGTAATATATCGGTAAAAATTATTATTACAATGTTGCCACATAAAATGTTGGTAAAACGCAGCAAAACGATAAAAATAAATATTTTAAACCGGCTTTAAATTTTGTTTTTTACCATTTAGGTTTCTATAAACTATTTTATTAAAATGTAGACATTTTCATTTAATATATTTAACAGTAAGTCGCCGTTTTAAGATATAAATTTTACACAAATAAGTTCTTAGGAAAATCATCTTTACCACCAATTTGGTTGGTGTTTCCCATGTGACAAATCAAGTTTAAATAATGCGAATTTCCTTCGGGCTAGGCCATAATTAGCCAACACAAGCGTCTAATCAAGTGGCAAGTAGCATTGACGGCGAGGCTGACGTTGCAGCAGATGATGGCCGATATCAGACGGCCGACTTGAAGGCAATATCCAAGTGGCCGAGAGACCACTCCAAAGTATTGAAAATAGTAATCGCAACGTGGCGTGGATGTCGGCATTGGCCATTGGCCATGCATAAAATTAGGTTAGTGGGTGAGACATAATTAAGTTATGGGGTCGCATTGTTTTTTCTACTATTTTTCGCATTATTAAATGAGATGTTGTCTTGCTGCCTTGAGGACATCAGACTTGGGTGCCATCGTCGGCATTATTCTCTCACCGCCTTTGACATTTCCGGTTGATTTTTCATTAACGAATCGCCCGGCTGACGAGCTGGTTGCGGCAGCGGCATCGGATTCTGAATCCCCAACATAGTTGATCTTAATTACTCGCCATCCATTAAGCCAAAGTTCAGCAAAGATTAATATTGTAGTATGCGTACGGCAAAAATGTGATGCCGCCGCAGGCATAAAGTTTACACTTCATTTTTTTTGCAAAGTGGACTCATTAATCTTCGACTTTTCCCAGACGTGTAATTTTTTAACTCAAGATTGAGCATACGTAGTGCGAAATTATTAAAATATGATTTACGATATTCACTTTCTCATGTCATTGAATAAAAAACTTCAAAACACCAAAGAAATTACTTCGATTTAAAAAAGCGACGGATTTTACTATCTCTAAGAAAGGGGTTCATGAATAAAATATAAAACACGTAGTTATCAGATCCATTTAAGTAGTTTTCAATTCTAAGGTGTTAAATATTTTAAAATATTAAGCCAAATATCAGCTAAAATGTACAATAAATGAAAAAGTGACCAAATTAGCCAAAACGCTAAAAACTTAATATGTCTTTTAAAGGTTATGTATATTACGCATACGCCATGTATTTCAAATTTTGATAAACTTTTTAAATTTATTAAAAATAAAAACTGACTTTGCCAACAAAATGTTTTAATAACAAGTTTAAAAAACAAAAAACAAAATTATAACAAGGGTATGTAACCAGTTTTAAATTAAACATCATTCATACGACGTGTGGTTCAGAAACTAAAACTATGAGCATGAAAAGTGTGTAAAAAGAAATTTTATTTGTAAAAAATAAATATTAAAAATAAAAACTTACGTTTCATTTAGCTTATAATGAAAGTTCACAAAGATAAAGAGAAGGTTAGCCCCTTACTGAATTACTACAACAAAATATTACATTTATAAAAAGACTAATCAACGAAAGCAAGGATCTGTGAATTCGGGTCAAGTCAACCCCGATCCGCAATCTTAATAGTTTATAGCTGATAAGTGATAGCTGAAAAATGCCGCTGGCTAATTGGCCAATCAAAAACTGCCAACTGCAAGTCCAACAAGTTCCAGCAATTAAAAGAATCTAAGGAAACTCATCGCAAAGGAGACGAGGACACGGGCCAAGACAAACGGAACTAATGCCAGCCTGAAAGGAATCTCAGAAATTAAGAAGAAAACGCTTCATGAAATTGCTCTCGACCCGAGTGCAACTTCCGGTGCATAAATGAAAATAAATACGAGCACAGACGACGAGTCAACATACAGCTCAGGAAAAAGGCACTGTCATCAGCAGCAGGACCTCCAGAATGGGAATTTTAATGGCGATGGGAATGGGAATGCGAATGGGAATGGGATTGGGATCGGGCGTGGCAATGGGAGCCAGGGGCCAGTTGGAGCGACAAAAGTTAGACAAACGGATGTGTAGATTAGACCGGCAACAACGGCAGAAGACTTGGCCGTCAGACGACTAAACAATAGTTGCAGCCAGCGAACAAACAGCAAACAAAACCGAACAATATGTGCACAATGCCAGCAACAACAGATGCATCCGGCTCCGGCGATGCATCAACATCAGCTGACCTCATCGGAGAAAGGAGCCGGACCCACAGCCACTCCTGCCACCAAGGACATCGCCCAAACTTGCGCATATTTAAACTTTTGATTAGCTGCTGCCTCGTAATGCTCAGCATTTATCCAAATGCCTGGCCCTTGTCCATCATCCCCGGTTCGGGATTGGGATCGGGATTGCGACTGGGATCGGGATCCTTCTGGGTCATGGCCGACAGCATCAAGGGACGCGGCGATGCCCATCGCCTGGACACGATGGGCTCCCAGTCCCACACCTCCTCGTCCTCCTCCCTGCCGTCCTCGTGGCTCACCCAGAGCAATAACCATGCAAATATATCCGAGTTGCTGGATAATCTGCTGCGCGGCTATGACAATAGCATACGTCCGGATTTCGGTGGTGAGTAAAGAATTTTGTTCCCAAATATATTTGACACTCTTGAACTGTAATGAATATATATTTATTGATTGATACATTTTCATTTTATGAATTTAGGAGATACAGCATTTTCTGATCGATTATTTGCAATAGAGAATACAAATATATTACCAAACAAATTAAAAACTTTTGAACTAACACAATTGTATATTTAATCAGACCCTTGACCAATTTTAATTTGGTAAGCTCAGGAGTTTTAATTTTGATTTATGTGAAATAGTTAGTAAAAATATTAGGTAAAATCAAGCCTGAAGTCTTCTTAAGTTAGGGAAGTTTGACTGTAAGTTTAATGTCGATTTCATTAAAAAACGTCTATCATTGGAAAATTGTTTATAAGTGTTTTGAATAAGCAAAAAATTGAATAAAAATTGTACCACTGACAAAGATTAGTAGAGTAGAATGGAGTGGCGTATACCCCCTGAATCTTTCTGTCTGCGTCAAATCTTGCGTTGTTTACCCTTTTTGGCTCCGGCCCCCTTCCCAGGTGTAATCAGCACAGATTCGCAGATTTTCCGCTCAACGGAAGCATTTAATGAAGTGGAAATCGCTGCCAGGCGACACATCACTCACAAACGGCACCAAGGTGATGAGGCCTCCCGTGATGATTGCCTCGCAGCTTATTCGGTAAATAGTAAGTGTCAAAACCGACAAATATTTACCTACATACAAACAATTTTATTGCGTTTTCCATGGCTCCTTGCTACGAACTTCTCCCCCGAGGACTTCGCCCAAAATGGATGGGCAATTCGATTCCTTTTCAATCTTGCAAATGGTCGAAGCAATAAAAATTTAAATATTTTCGAAATTTAAAATGCCATCCACTCAATTGGGGGGAATGGATTTTGGTTAACGTGGCGAAAATTGTTTTCGCTCGCGAAACGGCTTAAGACCAAATTACATTGTTTTTAACACTTCATTAAGAATGGGCCGTGACACGCCCCCTTCCGCGGCTCGACGCCCGCCGCCCTCGTCATCTGGCGCCAGCTGGAGAGGATGAGAGGACTCAAAGGATACGTGGCAATGCACATCCGCATCCTGCGAGCGCGACGCATGTTTGCCGAACGAGCTCAGCAGCAAAGTCATTAAAAACTGTTCGCATAGGCAAAATACAAAAAATTCCTGGGGCCCTCGGGAGGAGGCGAATCTAGGGCCTGAAAAATTGCATATTAGTGCAGAAAAGCTAGATAAAAATGGGCGGCGGCGGCGGGGCATGGTTACAGATTCAGTGGGTTTGGGACTGTCTGCGAAGCGGCTTAAGTGTCATTGTTCACACAGAGAACCATTTAACATTTTCATTTGGGTCCTGCGACTCGCATATGAATATTCATAGTTGAACAAAACCGATACGTTGAGTACTGGGATTATATAGTTGGATTGCGTGGCCTTCAGTTGAAGAAATCCCATTTTCCATATCTAAACTAGGCAATGGCTCGAATAGCAAATTGAATGGAACTGGTATGATAGGTAAATGTTTAAGCCCTTTCCCAGCCACTTAACCTAAAATTCCAAAGGCAATCTAATCAAATTATATTAAATCAGATTAGGTCACAGAAAAACATAACATTATATAAATCTTACCTTTAAAATCTTTCAGGACCTCCAGCCACAGTGGAAGTGGATATAATGGTTCGCAGCATGGGACCAATATCAGAGGTCGATATGGTATGTACAATTAAATGGCTTTCAATCAGAGTTTCTATTTAAAATTGGCCAAATCACGTATTCATAAAGAAAATTTAACGATGGCCAAACCAAAATGTATAATTTTGTATATTAACAAAATAAAATAAAAATACAATATACTTAAATATTCTCTTTTCTTATTAATTTATTACAAAAATATAAAAAATTTTGGAATTGTTTTAATTTGTTTACGAAATCTATTCAAAACTTATATATTGTTTGATATAGTTTGATTTCTGTTAACATTGATCCAATTTAGATCAAACATATAAGATTCACGCTATTTGTGTATAAGAAACCCACATATATTAACTGACAATGTTCCACCACTTCCTGCTTCCCAATTCAATTTGTCGTGACATATCCTGACTGGCTTCCTTTCTTTTCCTGCGATTCTGACTCTGTCTCCGTGTCCTTTGCAGACCTACTCGATGGACTGTTATTTTCGCCAATCCTGGGTGGATAAACGTCTCGCGTTCGAGGGGGCCCAGGATACGCTGGCACTGAGCGTCTCGATGCTGGCCCGGATTTGGAAGCCGGATACGTACTTTTACAACGGCAAGCAGAGCTATTTACACACGATTACCACGCCAAATAAGTTTGTGAGGATCTATCAGAACGGACGCGTGCTGTACTCCAGTCGGCTGACAATTAAAGCCGGCTGCCCGATGAATCTCGCCGATTTCCCCATGGACATCCAAAAGTGTCCCCTGAAATTCGGTTCATGTGAGTAGGATGGGAACTTCGAAAGAATGCCAAGTGGCATGTGGAACTCAGAACTACGCTATAATTATGCATAATGGCTGCTCATTGCGCTTTGATGTGATTTGTTCTCCTCGTGTCGGCAAAATGTCCACTTGTTGGGTCCGAAGGACAATGACGAGGAATCTGGGTGGGGATTATGCTGAATGCCATGACATTGGATGAGATGGGATGGGATTGGATTGGGTTGGACGAATTGTTGGCGACAAGAAATGTGAAGTGAGATGTGTTTTGAATTGAAGGGGAAATGAAAGAAAGAAATAAATGGCACAAGGGCCGGAAATATTGAAGTGGTTCCATGCGTCTGAATGCTGGAAGCGGATTAGATGAGGTAATGGTTTAATGGGATATCCTGATGTGCTTTGGCAGGAAAATTGTAAAGAAAATTGTAAAATCTAGAGGAGAAAGTGCTTTTATTTTAAAGCAAACTATTAGGGATTGTTTTATTTTTATTAAAAGTAGACGAGATAGTTTGCCTTGTAGAGACATTCGATAAATTGACCATATGTCATATTTAAAACTGTATTTGTGTATATTAGTGGTTTCAACTTGTATAAGCATTTTAAGCAGAAGTTATTTGTTAGAAAAAATGCGTGCTATTGTCTGCGCATTGACTTTAAAATTTAACACTCATACGTCCTGTTGCCTCTGACTATATAATTCATTACCATAGTTTTGTTTTTCCATAAAAAAATACTTTTCTTGTGCTTCATAAATTGACTTTTATTTGAACTAGATCAATAATCTGAGACGACTAAATTAAAAGAAAGATTTATTTTGTAAAAAATGCTAACTGGCAAACGTATCGTATGAGTAATTTTTATGGAAGCCATTGAGCATCGCAAAAAACTTAAAATAAAATCCTTTTTGGACCATGTCCTTCATTATCTCGCTTTATTTATAATTTTAAAATACCTTTGCAATATTTGTTCTAAACGTTCTTTAATATAGTGTTAGATTAAAACGTTTCCCACTTGAAAAATAAATGTGGTATAAAGAATTGTTGTTATATGGAGCGTGGTGCTAGGTCATCTGGGTATAATTTAAGGAGTCTGTAATGAGAGGACTGAAAGCGAGTCTGGCCAGTGTAAATCCTTAGTAGGTGCAAGAGTTGGAAAGGGGGAGTAACGTGTCATTAGGGAATACTCTTGCAATACAATGCTCCTGGTGCAGCTTAAGTAGTTTGTATGCGAATATGTGACGGTGGCGCTTTTGTCCGTGTTGACTCATATGCGCCTCCTCTGAGTCCATTGTTTAGAAGTATGTAAGTATTCTTGTAATTGGTCTGTAAATTCGTATATGCATTTAGCGCATGTCGCCCGCGTGCGAGTAGCCGCCTATTAAACTTGGTTGGGTCCGAGGTGAAAATAGAGTAAGGTAATGGCCCCAGGACGCATCCTTGAGTTACGCCGGCCTGTTAAGGGTGTTTGGTGAGAGTGAAGCTGCCCACGAGTACAGAAAATGTGCGGTCCGTCTAGATTTGTATAAAAGTCCTTCATGCCAAACGAGCCACACGGTTGTTTCATGCCCCTTTGTAAATCCAAATCGGTGATGGGGGATAGTAAGCTTACAAAATTCATGATTAACTATTCTTGTGAAAAGGAGGAGCTCGAATATTTTTTTAAATGCTTAGATTATAGACGAACTAAGTATTTTTTCGATAGCACAGAGTTTTTATGTTATAAATGTGCTTACTTTTTTGTAATTCCCTCTGGCCTAAATGTTTTCACCATACAACTTCTTCGGAAAAATAAACGAAATGTGTGCAAATGTATTTAGATTTATTTGAAGTAACTAGCAAAGGCCATAGAAAGACAATTGAGATCGGAACTGATCCAATCCTCTAGCTCTCTCAATTAAGTTTTTTGGGCTGGGAGTCTTAGTTCCGTGTCCTACGAACTCGGACCACAACTCTTCGGCGGTTGCCTCCGGTCTCTCCTGTTCGTCCTAACCTCCGGCGACGGCTTCCTCCTTCCCGGATGACCACTCGCCTTATGATGACACGACGACGTCGGTGCCTCTTCTTGGTGGAGGACTTGGTGGTGGTGGTGGTGGCAGCCGTGGTGGTGGTGGTGGTGGTGCTGGCATCCGTGGTGGTGGTGGTGGCATCCGTGGTGGCGCTGCTGGCTGAGGAACTGGTGGTGGCGGGTGTGGTGGCGGAGGAGACCTGGCTCTGGAGGATCAGCATGGCCAGGACGACCAGGGAGAGAGCTAGAAGGGAGCGCATGGTGATAGTATTTTTAGTTAGTTGGGAACTAGTGTTCATGGAGAAAACGGGTGGATATTTATAGTGCCTGTGAGCCGGAGAGTTATTATATTAAGTTTTATGCAAACACAGTTGTGTCCCTTGGGAATAACAGTACCTTTTGTTTCAGTTACAGTACCTTTGCGTACTTAGGAGGCTTTGTTAGATATTTTTACACCTGCTGAACGTAATAGGAATATAAATAGAACAGAAATAGAATTTTAGTTTTGCGTAAACCCAAAAACATACGCGTACTTTATATACATAAATAAATATCTACCGTAACCTCACTCGCATAGGGTCAAGAATCTTTAAACCATTAGAATATAAATAAAGAACTTAACAGAACCACTATTATTAAATAAAATATTTAACCATTATAACTACTACAACTAAGAATTTTGGCAGTTATATTTTTTCTTGTACAAACATGATTTGTAAAAAAAAATTACGCATCGGTTAGTGTATATAAAGACCCATATGTTATGAACAACAATCCAAAGATCCTTGTCCATGTTTCAGGAGGTGGGGAATTGATATTACATTAATTACAAATCGCCTTTAAAAAATATACTGTGTAAAATATTACATTGGAAAATTTTCTTGCTTACAGTGTTTTTAAGCCATTTTAACTTGTTACTTGTTTTGGAAATTAGTTTCGTAAATCTGTACTATTTGAATTGAATAATGTATGCCACGCGAAAAAAATATATAAATGTGGGTTTCTCGCTATTCAATAAGAATTTCCTTAACAAAATATTTTGGCTTTTAGATATCCTAGAGTTGATTTATTAATACATTTGTATACGTGTCAACTGGAGTTTCTATTTTATACTAAAGAGTGCCCAAAGTATACGACATAAATCAAAAAGGGGAAATGGATACTAAATATATATAATATATAAACACGGGGAAATATCACGTTGACACTGATTGTGTATCAGATTAATAAAATTTCAGTTTTATTTTGTTTATTTAGGCGAAAAGATCTATAATTAATGTCATTGAAATGATATTAAAGTATTGTAGGCAACCATAGAGGGTGGGTTGCTTGAGCTAATATATGTCGTACTTTTCCAATATAAATTTGGTTACCTCACATTTTTGCGAATATATATAATTCAATTAGTGGATTAGAAAGTTTTCTAATTTGGTACATTTCTCATTTGCTTTACAATTGGGTTCATAGCTCTTTAAAACACAGCCTAAGAACTAAAAATGTCCAATTCCCTTTCAGATAAAAAATAAATGGCTGTGAATTGCGCCACCTTAGAGTTAGTCCCAAAATTTGCAATTTCAATTTCTCAAGAATTTTTTTGAAAGAAAGTTCAATCGATTTATTTTGAGTTGCTAGCAGCTGGTATAAAGAGATGAGGTTTGTTTTCGTCTGGGAGTTTTAGTTGGCTGTCCTGCGAACTCGGACCACAACGCGTCGGCGGTTGCCTTCGTTCTCTCCGGTCTCTCCGGCTTGTCCTGACCTCCTGCGACTGGTTCCTCCTTCCCGGATGACCACTCGCCTTATGATGACACGACGACGTCGGTGCTTCTTCTTGGTGGCGGACTTGGTGGTGGTGGCAGCCGTGGTGGTGGTGGTGGTGGTGCTGGCATCCGTGGTGGTGGTGGTGGCGGCATCCGTGGTGGCGGTGCTGGCTGAGGAACTGGTGGTGGCGGGTGTGGTGGCGGAGGAGACCTGGCTCTGGAGGATCAGCATGGCCAGGACGACCAGGGAGAGAGCTAGAAGGGAGCGCATGGTGATAGTGTTCTTAGTAAATCGGGATCTAATGCCAATGAACAAAACGGGTTGGTATTTATAGTGCCTATGAGCTGAAGAGGTATTATGTTAAGTTTTATGCAAACACAGTTGTGTCCCTTGGGAATACCTATGGCTTTTGTTTTAATTACAGTACCATTGCTTATTTACGATGTTTTGTTAGATCAGTTACCACCTTTTTGAACGTAAGAGGAATTTTTACTTCGCGCAAAGCCTAAAGTACACGCACATTATTTACACACATAACTATTTGCTTTTTATTGCCTCATTGTTTTCCCTTATTGTCTTTCACGTTATCAGTTTGAGTTTTTTGGAAATTTAAGGTGGTTCGACTTAGCATGAAAAGATCAAATCGCAGAATTTTATTAACAACGTTTTATTTTTGGAGTAAGTTAAAATTAGTTAACTAAAATAACCTCAAATATACATTTAATTATTCAATCAAAAAACCTTGTTTTTACTAAAAACTAATTAATTGCTCAGAATTCATATTCGTAGTCATTTGTTCATGCTGTAATACCGCTTGATTACCATATACCGAAAAACCTCCTTCGCCCCATCAAGATTCAGTGCCAGTTTTTGTCCTGCCCATGGCATCTCCATTATTTTTCAGTTAACAAAAAACACACCTTCTGGCATTTGAAGAATTTTCATCATATTTCCTCCTATTCATATGCAAAACAGAAAGTATGCAAAATAAATGAATGCAAAAAGGTACTAGTTTAATATTTGGTAACAATTTTTGATGGTAGGCAAGGTGTCGTCTGGAACTCACTAACTGCCTTTGCAGCTTATCGCAAATGAACAAGCCGCCACCCAACCTAGAAATGTATTATTACTTCCGATTTGTTGTGAATAATGCTGGATGGAAGCAGTCAAGAATTCAATTACCCCTCTATCTAGTCCCCTGCATTGCCTGTCGCTTAATGTTGACAATTTCCCATTTGATGCGAGCGAACTGAAAATATTGCCAAAGTCAGCGATTGCCAAACAGAAGGAGCAGATTCAGGCGGTGGTTTGGAGGATGCGGCATGCGGATTTGGGGGGTAGGTAAACCTTTTCCCACATATGGCGCAATGTTTGGCAATTTGTGCATTTTGGCGAGGCAGCACCAGCAGCATCAAATAAAATAACTGAACAAACGTGAGGTAGTGATTGAGGGGTACAAACTGTGGGTGGATAGGTGCTGCAAATGATTAAATGAAAAGTGTTTTGTATAGGAACATATATATTTATCAAGATACATAGAACTCTAATAGTAGTATTTTTGAAAAATATATATTACATTTTAGCTAACTTTCATAAATTCCATACCAGCTTTAAATGTATTTTATCTGGAAGGGTATTCTAAAGAAGATCTACTTGATATAAAAATGGTAAACAAATGATTTGTCACGGTGCAGGACATTCCTGAGTTCCGCATGTCACCCTTTTAATTGACATTTGTGCAGGATGTGTTGCATTAATCTGTAAAACAATCGAAACAGTTGGATACACCACGGCCGACGTCATCTACCGATGGAATAAAGAGCGACCCCCAGTCGCCATAGCCGAGGACATGAAGCTGTCGCAATTCGATTTGGTCGATTGTCCGGCTGGCAATCTGACGGACATTGTGTACAAGGCGGCGGCTCCAAGGCCGCAACGTCGCCCATTCAACAACAAGGACCCACCGCGACCCACCAGCAAGGTCCTGACCACCTTCGCCGGTCCGGCTGCAAAGAATCAGCATGTCCGTGGCACAGGACTCAAGCTGGACAAGGGGGCCTTCGGAACAGGTCGGGATACTGCCGGCGGAGCAGGCTCCTCCACTGGTCTAAGTGGCACCATCACCCTGGAGACCAATCACCCATGTATGTAATAAACGTCGGTTTACAGAAAATGTATAATTTATTTTTTTACTTTTTATCTGATTTTAAATATTAGACCTAGATACTTACTCTCGTCCTTAGGGTAAGAAGTCCTTAATATATATATCCTGAAAGTCCTTAAACCTACTTTTAGCTTAGTGTGAGGACAAGAACTCGGGTACTTCCTTTAATCTTAATTATACCCTTGCAGAGGGTATTATAATTTTGGTCAAAAGTGTGCAACGCAGTGAAGGAGACATCTCCGACCCTATAAAGTATATATATTCTTGATCAGGATCACCTCCTGAGTTGATATAGCCATGTCCGTCTGTCCGCTGCTGTCCGTCTGTCTGTCCGTCTGTCTGTTTCTACGCAAACTAGTCTCCAGTTTTAAAGCTATCGAATTGAAACTTTGCACATACCCTCTCCTTTGCACGCAGTATATATGTCGGAACGGCCGGGATCGGAAATGCCATATCTTTGGTGTTTGTAAAGTTAGAATGTTGGGATTTTCTAAGGGTTTTATATTTGGCTAATCAATCCGACATGCCGAATTTCATAAGGATCGGCCGACTATATCCTATAGCTGCCATATAACTGATTGATCGGAAATGCCATAACTTTGGTGTTTGTAAAGTTAGAATGTTGGGATTTTCTATGGGTTTTATATTTGGCTAATCAATCCGACATGCCGAATTTCATAACGATCGGCCGACTATATCCTATAGCTGCCATATAACTGAACGATTGGAAATGTCATAACTTTGGTGTTTTTAAAGTTAGGAAGTTAGGATTTTTTATGAGTATTAAGAATGCATCATATGAATAATTTTGGAGAATATAATTTACAGAGTATTCTGCAAGGGTATATCAACTTCGGCTCCGCCCGAAGTTAGCTTTCCTTTCTTGTTTTTTTTAAGTTCGTGCCCCTGGTTTCTCTTACACTTTTATTTCAAACAACTTAAAAACTTTCAAAAATGTTTTCTTTAAATATACATTTTTTCCAAAACATTGTAGGAATAAAAACATAATTAGTTTGTCAAAACTATTAATTGAAATTCATTGTTTTTTTTTAAGTATTTTTTATTTCTGTGTCGATTCGCATTAGATTTAATTTTTATAACATTTAAGTAAGAATAAATACAGTTTGCAAGTGCAAAAAATATTTAATTTTCCTTAAAAACACCAGTCATTTATTCCACTCCTATTTCCTTTCAGCGGAGTACTCGATGCTGATGGTGAACTTTCACTTGCAGCGGCACATGGGCAACTTCCTGATCCAGGTGTACGGCCCCTGCTGCCTGCTGGTGGTCCTCAGCTGGGTGTCCTTCTGGCTGAATCGCGAGGCCACCGCGGATCGGGTTTCCCTCGGGATCACCACTGTGCTGACGATGACTTTCCTCGGACTGGAGGCGCGCACGGATCTGCCCAAGGTGTCCTATCCCACTGCCCTCGACTTCTTCGTGTTCCTCTCCTTCGGCTTCATCTTCGCCACAATCCTGCAGTTTGCCGTGGTGCACTATTACACCAAGTACGGATCGGGGGAGTGCTACTTTATCATCGAGGAGCTGGACTCGGAATCCGGCGAGTCGGAAACGGAGCAGCTGACCTCGGACTTCCGGGACAGCACCGAGTCCAAGATCTACGAGGTCATTCCGCTGTCCATGTGCGCGATTAGCATGCCGCCGCCACCTAGCAGCCGGCTGGGCATGCTCACCTCCAGGAATCGGGGCCCTCGGAATAGACGACATGGCCTGTGGAGCATGAAGCTCCTGGGCCTCTTCGACTGGAGCCGCAGAAGAAAGCCACCCCGGGCCGATTCCGATGAGGAGGAGGACGACGAGCAGACCCAGCTGAGGGCCAACGAAGCTCCAACCACATCAGCTGCTGCTGCTGCTGCTGCTGCTGCAGCGGCACAGGCCGCTCGGATTAGTCCTCCGACTGGAGGTCGCCGCCGGATGTCCTACTACCGACGCGAGGAGATGGAGGCCCGCAGGAAGGGCAAACGCACGCCACAGTACAACTCAGTATCGAAGATCGATCGGGCCTCGCGGATCGTCTTCCCGCTGCTCTTCATCCTGATCAATGTGTTCTACTGGTACGGCTATTTGTCGAGGAGCTCCCGGATTTTGGCCAACACGCCGGACGCGAGCACCTGATGTTACCTTTTAGCAATTTAGACAGGGTCCTCGAAGAAATCAGTAAGCGATCGCCGGCAGCGAACAGACAACTAAAGTTGGGGTGTAAATGTTGCATCAGCAGCCTTGCAGCATATGAAGTGAATTGCTGCCGATGCAACGCTTACAACCAGCCGAAGATTACGCGTGGGGGGGGAAAATCGGTTGGGGGATTGGGAAAAGCAGGGAATGGGTTTAACTTTTCAGATTCAGTTACGCTCTTATTCTGATTTGCTACCAAACGTGTCAACGCTTTATGAGATTTCTTTTCGCTCTAAATTGCTAAAGTACAGAAAACAGAACTCAACTCTAACATATCAGAGGACTTGCTATAACGGACACCCTTCAAAATATCGAGCTTTAACGGTGAAAATATTGTGAGGAACATTTCGAAAACATGTTTTTGATTTTCAAAAGCTGTCTTCATAAAAAATCAATTGTACTTTTTTCAATGAAAATAAGATTTTCTGTGATACTTGCTTTCGTTATTTTGACAACTATTTGCCGAATACCTGGGGTGTCCTGTAAATTTTTTGTACAGCTAACCAATAAGTTAATTAGTTACAAATTGTGTGTATTTTAAATGGTTAATGTTAATTTAAAAGTCACAGCACAAGGAATTTGCACTTAGTTCAGAGATTTGTTTAGTTCACTGCAAATTATAACTTAAACATGGGATCACCAAGAAATAGGGAAAAATGTTAGGAAATTGCCGTCTCTGCTTTTCTGTCCTGGCAAGTAATAATAAGAAAGTATTTTAATAAGTCACGCAGCCTATATTGTTAATTCAAAGAAAAATTATCGGGCCTGAAATGTATCTAAGGACTTGTATAAGATTTATTATCCGCAAACTGTCGCTGAAATACATATTAATATTTGCAAATGGTTAGTGAAGTATGCTTATGTCGATCCGCACTAGATTTATTTGTTCATTTTATTTAAATTACATTTTTTAAAGTTACAAACTACTACTAAATCCACATACAGTTTTTAATATGCTTTGAAAATTGATAAAAGGTGTATAGTTTAAACGAGTTCATAGATAACTTTCAGACTCTGCAATTTTTCACCCACTCTAATATATAACGAAAATATCCAGCAGAGAGTGTTACTTGCCGGCAGATAAAATATGTACAACTATGTGTAAACACACAAACTAAAGCCAAATAAAAGTCGAATTAAGAAGTTGATAACGCGTTGATAGCTGCACGGGAATCGGGTGGATTTATGGCTCACAAATAGGGCAACAGATCGGCCAGTCGGGGTAGATAACAATCTGGCTGGGCCAGCTTGCCCTTTTCCCGTCGGACATCCGAGAGATTACTGTATCGACCAGTGCCCACCAGAAGCGATAGCATGCCACAATTGCTGGCAAAGCCGACATCTATTTTGAGGCTACAGAAGAAGACGGGGGAACTCATTAGAAGTGTCCTGAAAGGATGTGTTAAACCCGCTTACCAGTCACCAATCATAAGCGTTCGCTCAGCACGCAGTTCGCCGGTCTTCGTCAGAGGCTCAAGGACCAAAGGATTCGGCTTGCCCATCTCGAGGGCTTCCCGCTCCGAACAGGCCTCGATTCCGGCCACAAAGGCGGCAGTGCCGGGGATACAGAAGGCCGGATACTTGTGCACAGCATCCCGGTTGGTGACAAGGAAAGCGGAGTCGGGATTGCTGCACAGGATGTGACAGGCGCGGGCCATCTTGCAGTAGCTGAAGTACTCATCCCAGCCGACCACCACCGCACCCACATCCTTGGCCGCCTCCGGGTTCCCGAACTCGCGAGCCACAAAGTCCGGCCACAAGTCGCCCGGAGCCAGTTGCTCCGTTTCCCCGGCTCCGAAACTGTCGATTCCGTGCTGCCTTAATTCCCGGGCGATGGCCGCATTGCCCACCACGTAGACCTTGTGGCGGGCTCTATCGAAATCCGGACTCTCAACCAGATAGTCAGCAATAGCAGCCGTGGGCGATATGATGTATCGGTCGCTGGGTAAATGGAATCCCAGTCGCTGGGAGCGCTCAAAGAGCTCCTGGCGCGTCTTTAGTCCATTGTTGGTAATCAGGTAGACTTTTTTGCCCAAGCGCTGCTGCAGGGCATTCAGGACATCCGGAGCGCCCTCGATGGCCGTGTCGTCCTGCCAAATGGTGCCTGTGCGTCAAATGGATATTTAATTTGGTTTCATTTCTCATCAGTGACTATGTACATTCGAGTAGGCATTTTGTCAACAAAATAATCTTTACATGGATCCCTAAACGATTGCTAATTGGTTTTCTACAACATTACAAAATATACTTTTGAAAATTTTTTTATAATGCGAACTCTGAGTTCGAAAATTCTAACACAACAAATTGGTTTTTAATTGATGTTAGGGTGCATAAGCCCGGAATGCAATTCACTTTAAACTAATGTAGTTTCAAACGAGTCATGAAAATGTATTATCTTAGTTTCGTAAAGTAGTTTCAGTTTAACTTAGACAATTATAAGAAGCAGCACTGGCTTATAAAAAACTATGAGCACAACTGAGTTTCGGGTTTCGTTACTTGAATTTTAATTTAAACAAACAAAAAAAAAAGCGTTCCAATTGAAAAGCAAATTAATTTGAATTTTCAAAAACATTTCCAATACTTCAGGTAATGTAATGGTAAGGAACTGCAAAATTTATGAAATTAAATATTCAACTCTTGTAATTAATTTTTTAATAATACATAAGCTTTTAGTAACCGCGATCATATAAGCTTTTCCCCCACCCATGTAAACTACCACCGATATTTGCTATAGTTTTCCGGGGAAATGACAACTCTGGCAAAAGCTTTTATAAACACTATGTCGCGCTCTCTGCACCACCTTAACCGCCCTTCAAACTCACCGTCGCCATCGCAGAGAATCGTGTCGAAACTTTGGAGCCACTCGCCCACCTGCCCCCCGGATAAGTCCGTCAAGTTGATAGCACCGCCTCTGGACATTCTGCTCCGTAGACCGCTCCGCCAAATGTTTGCGACTCGACTAAATCGGCGATGGACTGGTTGATTCCAATTCACGATGATTGGGGAGAACCGAACCTGCTATCTCACTTTGGCACAAAGCTCGTTATAAAAACTATATTGAGTCGAGCATATCGATTAAGTTGACCGTCTGGCAAAATGCTTTTCACTTTATTTAAATATTTTATTTGGTAGTATAAATTGTACTATAAATTTACGTTAGGTATTTATAACTTTTCCTGTCTATTGCCGGTGAATGTAACTACAATACAAACACATGTCCGTACTACATACTGATTACTAATAAGTGATCTGCATCTCAATCATTTCAAGCCCTCCAGGCTATTTGCAATCGATGGCAGCAGATCGCCCAACTTGGGCAGGTAAACGTCTGGTATGAGCTTCTTGTCCTCGGGATTCTTGCTTAGCTTCCACTGCTCCACGTCCTTTAGCTGATGGATACCAGAGCCAACGAGCAGTGTCTGGAATCCGCAATTGTAGCCGAGAAGGATATCCGTATTGGCCCTATCGCCGATCATCAGAGTCCTCGAGGGATCGATCTTCTTCTGGCTAATCAGCGATTCGCAAATCTCCGGATTGGGCTTTCCGATCACAATGGGCTCCCGTTCCGCACAGGTTTGAATGGCCCGCACAAAGCTCCCGCTGCCAGGCACTATCATATTGGGCATTGGAAAGCGCTCATCCGTATTGGTGGCCACGAACAGGCACTCCGGATCGTTCAGGTACGAGGCGGCCTTCATCATTTTGGGGAAGCTGAAGTGCTCATCAAAGCCCACGACCACGGCCCCGATGTCCGTGTCCAGTTTTAAATGCTGCGCCATGAACTCGGCCAGCGATCCCTGCATTGGTTCCGGTCCCACCTCGGTGTGCTTTATGCCCACGGCATCCAATTCCTTGGTGATTCCCTCGCTTCCGATCACGAATACCCGTTTGCTAAAGTTGCGACGCTTCAGGTACGCCGCTGTGGCATGGGCCGTCGATATAATGCCATTCTCCTTGATGTGAAAGCCCAGCTCGACGCCCTTCTTTAGCAGCTCCGACCGGGTCTTCGTCGAGTTGTTTGTGCAGAAGTAAATGGACTTTCCCATGGCTTTAAACTGGTTCATTACATCCGCCGAGCCCTCCAGGGCCTGGCCGTAGATCCAAAGAACTCCTGCGATGAAAAATAATGGTTTCAGTGATAGTGGAAATAGGTTTAATTATCTTTCGGGTAAAAAACTGTCTTTCTTTCGGAAATCTAAACTATATATGTAAATAAGCTTAGTTATGGGTATAATATTTTATTTTCGATTTAAGATATAATCTTTTTACAACTAATATATATATATATGTACTATAATATAATAAGTTTTTGCTTTAAGGACTCGCAATGTAATATTACAGTTTGAAACAACTCAAGGTCGAGAATGAATTTTTTTAAAGAAATACTTTAAAAAACAAATGATTCAGAATGTCTGTAGTACTACAGCTCATCACATTAAAATTTAAAAAAAAATTTGATATGAGAATAATCTACATTTGATCAAGAAAAATATTATTCATAGAGGCTAAAGCTACGCCAGAGTTAAATACAACCTCTGTTCAATGAACATTTATTTTGAGCTGAAGAAACAAATAATAATGTAAATTTATTATTTAAATACAAAAATTCCATTTATCGGTTTGAGTTTTTATACTTATCAAGTTTAAACAACAGTATCAAACAACAGGATCATTTAAATGATCGTCAAACTTTTATCATCCTATCTGTAATTATGAGGGCATCCGAAAGTCGACTTGCCACTCATAAATGTCACGCATTTCACTCTTTGACATTGAAATTGGCGACGCAGCAACAACGCGTCCGATTTTTGGTATACACATATGTATCTTTATGTAACGCAACTTCCTGGTGGGAATCCTTCCGTGACCGGGAACACCCCACCCACCTCCCACCACCCCCACTTACCATCGCAATCTGTTATAACAGAATCGAAACTCGAAATCCACTCGTTCACCTTGGCGGAGGACAATTCCAGGAGATTGGTGCACGTCTGTTTATACATGTTTAAAACTGCCTTTCGCGAATAGGTGGCAAAATTAGAACTCATTTATGGCTTTGCAGCGACGGCTATCTTTTATACATCACTTTTAATTTATTAATTGGCTCTCGATTGCGAGGAACTCCCTGAGAAATAAAGCAGCTGTTTTGGGACCTGTAAAAGCTATGTTACTATCTGTCAGATTTTAACGTGGCTGCTATGGGGCCATGTTAAAGTGAACAGAGTGCTAACAAGTGTTTGGCGCCAGTTTTGAACTGGAAAACAATTGCACCCCATTTATTACTACAAAAATTATTATATAACTCCATTTGATTCCATGTGTTGTATTGCTTATAATCTGTTAGAGTTTCTGAAAAAGAAGATTCCTTATTTATATTTATTCAAGCCCCAATAACCACCAAACTCACACATTGATCATTTGTATGCTTGTTTATTATTGTTTTATGCGCCTAATCACTTAAATTAATTACTTATAGTACAGGCATTTTTATTTTGTTGAATCTCAGCTTTCTTTTGTGTTTTTAAACTTGCTGGAAGAACAAACCATTGCAGAAATATACTTGAAATACTGAACCTACAAATTACAAGGTTGGTGAGCAAAAATAAGGTTGCGAAAAAGCGCTTTTGTGGGGGGCGGGCAGGTTTTGGGTGTTTGTAAAGGGGGAGAGCTGGAATCGAGAGCGAAAACGTTTTGCGTGCGTTTTGTACCATAACTTGCATTTAAATAAATCTCATTAAGCTAGCGCGAAAAAAACGAACGAAAAATTGTTGGCTAATTACAGAAATAAACTATTTTACAGTTACAATAATCATAAATTAATAACTAGACACGAAACGTTATCGAGAAAATTGCATTTAGAGGACCGCCGGTGGTCCGTCTGCGTTTTTTTGTGTCGCCATCTGGGGTGCGTCTGCTGATGAGAGGTAATGAGCCAAGTCTATTTTGCTAAAGGATCCTGCCTAGAACTGCGACATTAGCAGGCTGCCCCCGCCGCCGCCGCTCCCCACGCCTCCGCCTCCCCCTCCCCCAACTCCGCCCCCAGGACCGCCGCTCGTGCCCAGCACAGATCCGAGGAGACCGCTTGGCATCTGCTGCTGCTGCATGGGCATCTGCTGTTGTTGCATCTGCATTGACGAGGAAAAGCTGTTCATGCCGCCCACTACGCCGGGTCCCATGCTGGCCCCCATGCTGGATAATCCTGGGCCAGGACCACCGGCCAGCGATCCCAGACTGGTGGCGCCCATAACACCCGCTGCTCCGCCCAGGCCCCCGCCACCGGGCAGCAGACCCACGCCCGGCTCCGGACTCTGGTTCTTCTTTTTACGCTTCTTCTCCTTTTTACGCTTCTTGCGCTCCTTGTCGTCCTCGTGGCGCTTCTGCTTCTTGTGCTTCTTCTCGTAAGTCTCCAGGCCGGCCGAATCTGTGAGATTGGAATCATTTGCTTAGACAATCTCAGGCTTAGCCACATATCAGCAGAAAACTCACCCAGCAGCGTAGATTCCTGTCCCGTGGTCACGCCGTCTTTGTGTTTGTGCTTTTTGTGTTTGTTTTTGTGTTTTCGCGCAGGTGTGACATATGTGGTACGATACTGTTCTGGCAGCTGCAAGGGAAATCGGAATCGGTTAAATTAGCAGGATATAATTATAAAATTCAAAACAAGTAAATGTAATATATTGGTTTTTAAATTTACGAAATACCTTTCAAAACCCTAAAACTCATTAAATCTTAACAATATTTACTTAGCTTTAACAAAAAAGTCTTTGAAATGTTATATTTTGGTTTACAATTTGTTTTAGCTTGAATAAATATAATGTGTTATTGTTGGTAAGAAAATTATAGTAAGATCACAAAAAAACTTTGAGCTTTTTATAAACGTTAGATACGCAGAAAAGGGTTAACTAAATTAAAAAAAAATTATTTGAATAAAAGATAAAAATCTAAAAACATTTAATTATTAAAAAGATCACAGGTAAGTGAATAAGAAATATTTTAAATAAAATTCTTTAAACAAATTAAGCAACTAACTGCAGAAATTTACATATTTTCTGAAATAACACCCTAACTATTACCAAATTTAAAGTCAAATCAAAAAAACTTTCTTTCAACATTTTTTTTAAACAACTGTTAGTAAAATTGATCACTGATTAAACAATTTTGGACTAAGTGCAAATAGATAAGATTCATAAAACCAAAAATTCGAATTGTAACAGTTTAAAACTGATTTAACCAAACATTTGAGTTTCGTTAATCAGAGTAATACAGTCATATAAGAACACCAACCGGTCCGGGATGAAGGCGGAATCCGGCCAGCTGCACAGGCGTTAGCGGGAGGAGCTCCTTGCCACCGATCGGCGGCTTCTCGATCACGCTCCGCAGCGTGCTGTTCTCGACGGGATGCGTGATGAGGTCGTTGATGCCGGGGATGTTCTGCAGAAACGAGGCCAGCGACTCCTTGAACTTCTTCTCCTTGAACTTGGTGAGTGTGTGGTGCAGTCCGTACTCGGTCATGAGATCCTTGTCGCCGGTGAGTTCCGCCTTGGCGGGCGGCTCTTTCATCGAATAGAAGGGGCCGGTGTGGATGATCGTGGGCGTTTTGCCCAGCGAAATGGTTGTTTTCAGGGTGCCGGATGAGTCCTGACGGGCGACCACGGGGGATCGGCCGCCACCGTGGGGCGATGACTTCGGGGAGTCCATCATGTTGCCGTAGTTGCTCATCATCATGGAAGTGGTGGAAATCTTCGGATTCTTGGCAATCTTGGCAGCCCACGCACACACTCGCACCGCGCACACAAACAGGCACAGCAACAACAACGCAAGGCCAGCAGAAGGTATCGCCGTTCGCGACTCTCGGGCAACGCCGGCCAAGCTTACACTCTGCAAAATGCGCCGCGGCTGCCCGGCACTTCGGCAGACTCTTTTCTGGTCGAATACTCAATTAATTATCTGCTCTTGTGGCGTTTTCTAACAGATTTCGGGGGCAAGTCTCGCCATCTTGTTGTGTCCGCGAACCAGTGTGACCGCATTGCGACAGCTAGCGAAAAACTGAGGCTGTGGCGAAAACGCGAGGCGAACGCACCGCGAAAATACCAAAAGTGTACTAGAAAATACCACTGTTGGCGCATACCACACACAGCTGCATTGTAAGTTATCGAGTATTCATCGTATATACAGTATATTTCATTTTTTTTAATTCAAAAAGATTTTTTCGCTGAGCCACAAACACTATAGATCAAGAAAAACTGGCGTAATATCACTACGCTCTTATTTTGCTGATCATAATGTAATCACTCGTACACCTTCACAACTATCGAATGATATTCATATAACGAAAAAAGCTTCTTGAGGAATAACAAGCTACTTTTTACGTAATCTTAATTTTAATAATCATAATATATTTTTATTTTAAAGTGTGAATATTGAACCCTAGAACTATCGATAAGTCCCAACCCGTCATATGACCACTATCGAAAGCGCTTTGCCAGCCCTGCGACCGCTCCGCTCTCCACAGCACGGAAAACAGTCGGAAAAACACATCAAATTAGTGTTGTGTTTGTAGTTAAATAACGATTATCCTCATAACTCGCCCACACCAGCCATGCAGTCCACGCTTCGACATGTTGTGTCGGCAGTAGCCAAGGTAAAAATCGGCCGATACTGCCGATTCACCAATCGCCTTTCGCCCCCCAAGTTATGCAATCTAACCTCACCGAAGGGGGCCCTGAAATGGGCAGGAAAAGCCTGGAAAATGCACTTGGATCACCTGCAGTGCTCATATGATCGCAGTGGGTGAATCACTGGCGTCTGGCGGATTTGTTTGGCCCCGCTTTCAAGGTCGCTAATTGGGCCAATTATCAGCTGATATGCGGCCGGAGATTAGTGCTGACTGCGTGCGATTGGCGTGATAAATGATAAGGTCCCAGAACCACTAGTAATCCACTATCTTTCCAGACTCCTCTGCGCACCAATGCCGCCATTCTAGGCGCCCTCAACGCCCGCTGCTACTCTAGCACGCACGAGGCAGACATTGTGGTGATCGGTTCCGGACCAGGTGGCTATGTGGCCGCCATCAAGGCCGCCCAGATGGGCATGAAGACAGTCAGTGTTGAGAAGGAGGCCACTTTGGGCGGCACCTGCCTTAATGTTGGCTGCATCCCCTCGAAAGCACTGCTGAACAACTCCCACTACTACCACATGGCCCACTCAGGGGATCTGGAGAGCCGCGGCATCAACGTTGGCAGCGTTAGCCTTGATCTGGAGAAGCTCATGGGTCAGAAGGTGAACGCTGTGAAGGCCCTGACCGGCGGTATTGCCATGCTCTTCAAGAAGAACAAGGTCACACAGTTGACGGGCTTCGGCAGCATTGTCAATCCCAACGAGGTGGTGGTCAAGAAGTCCGACGGCTCCACGGAGACTGTCAAGACCAAGAACATTCTCATCGCCACCGGCTCGGAGGTTACCCCCTTCCCGGGCATTGAAGTGAGTGCGAAAAAGCTGAAAAAAAGCAGGAATGTTTATTTACCTTCATGGTCATCCCTTATAGATCGATGAGGAGGTTATTGTGAGCAGCACTGGCGCTCTAAAGCTCGCCAAGGTGCCCAAGCACATGGTTGTGATCGGCGCCGGCGTTATTGGCCTCGAGCTGGGCTCGGTTTGGTCTCGTCTTGGCGCCGAGGTCACTGCCATCGAGTTCATGGACACCATCGGAGGCGTGGGCATCGACAACGAGGTCTCCAAGACCTTCCAGAAGGTGCTCACTAAGCAAGGCTTGAAGTTCAAGCTGGGCACCAAGGTGATTGCCGCCTCGCGCAGCGGAGACGATGTCACCGTGTCAGTGGAGAATGCCAAATCTGGCGAGAAGGAGGAAATCCAGTGCGACGCCCTGCTGGTCAGTGTGGGCCGTCGTCCCTACACCGAGGGTCTGGGCCTGGATGCCGTGGGCATTGTGAAGGACGACCGCGGCAGGATCCCCGTCAACGCCACCTTCCAGACTGTGGTGCCAAACATCTACGCCATCGGCGACTGCATCCACGGACCCATGCTGGCGCACAAGGCCGAGGATGAGGGCCTCATCACCATCGAGGGCATCAACGGCGGCAACGTGCACATCGACTACAACTGCGTGCCCAGTGTGGTCTACACGCATCCCGAGGTCGCGTGGGTGGGCAAGAGCGAGGAGCAGCTGAAGCAGGAGGGCGTTGCCTACAAGGTGGGCAAGTTCCCCTTCTTGGCCAACTCGCGCGCCAAGACCAACAACGAGACCGATGGTTTCGTTAAGGTTCTGGCCGACAGTGCCACCGACAAGATCCTGGGAACCCACATCATCGGACCCGCTGCCGGCGAGCTGATCAATGAGGCTGTGCTGGCTATGGAATACGGAGCTGCAGCCGAGGATGTTGCCCGCGTTTGCCATGCGCATCCAGTGAGTTATCACCCAACAAATGATTTACATAACTCAAAAATCACTTTTCCATATTATCGAAAAGTTTCATAACTTTTGCTTGAGAGTTTAATAAGCTTAAGTATTTTGAAGCGAAAAGTGTTTAATTTTGAGTGATGAAAGTGTTTGACATTATCATGATTTAGCAGAGCTAATAAATCGTATTATCTTCCTTTTCAGACCTGTGCTGAGGCTTTACGTGAGGCCAACGTGGCGGCTGCCTTCGGCAAACCCATCAATTTCTAAGCACTTCCCTCCCAATCCCTGCCAGCTTTTGGAGAATTTTGCACCGCGTTTGAAAGTTTTGAAAAACCCCCCAAATCGATAAATTATCCTGACAGCCGAAACGAAAGTCTCCGCATATTTGTAACTCTCAATGTAGGAACAGTAAAGTGGAAACTATAAATATTGGTAATGGCGCCAGGCGTTAATTGCAATGTAATATGTGTATTAAGCTAGAATAAATACAACACAATTTGAAAACTCGAAACTCAAAGCGTTAAATAGATTTATTGTATTGTATTGTAAGATGTTCTGGTAACTACTAATAAAGCTAAAGAAATCCATTTCTAGAGCTGCAGCTCCCTGTCTTCGGGTTAAAATTTTGTAACTCACTAAGATTTTAAAGGCCAAGTAAAATTTGTATGTATATATGTACAAGTTTACATTTTTTTTCAAAATTTAAATTTTATAAGAGTGTAGAAAGTACTTATTCTTAAAGTTACAACTATTGCATTAGGCTGTTATCGGTCATTAAATATTAATTAAAGTTTTTTATCATTATAATTAAATTTTTTTTGTGAACCTGTTAGAATTTTTGGCAATTTAATAATACTTTATATTTTTAATGAGTGCCCAAATCATAAAAATAAGGGATTCAGCGGAAATCAGTCAAAAGTGTGCATCACTGTGAACAGCTGACGCGCCGGCTTTCCGAAAACCATCTATCTGGCAACGCTCACCGAGCACTCAGTGTCAAAATTTCGGCCCGTTTGAAACGAATAAAATAGTTAATTTTCGGGCTTTAGTTCTTACATTTAGCACGGCATTTTTCCCAACTTTTTTTGCCTAAAGATTTGGGGTACAAAATTCATAGCTGATTGCAATGTTCCGAGTTGGCAAGCTTAGAGGCAGCCTGTCTGAGGTGGCCAAAAAGGAAGCGGGACCGGTGCGTTTCCAGCGGCGCTGCATTCAGGCAAGGAGTTTCTTGCCGGGATTGGCCAGTAGAACGCCAGGAACGCTATCGGCGACGGCCCAAGTGACTGGTGGCAGCAAGCAGCAGGTCCAGCCGCAGTCCCATACAATCGACAGCGGTCCCGAGGACGTGAGTTAATTGGTGGTCTTAGTTTACATAACACTCTACTTTATTTTGTTCCCCTAATCCCAGCAGAACAGCCGCTGGCCAAGGAAGGTATTCAGCGGCATCCAGCCCACGGGATCCCTGCACCTGGGCAATTACCTGGGCGCCGTGCGCAAGTGGGTGCAGCTGCAGAATGCCCGCGACGACGTGACCGTCTGCATCGTAGACTTGCACTCCATCACCATGCCCCACAATCCGCCGCTGCTGCGCGAGAACATCTTCACCATGGCCGCCACGCTGCTCGCCTGCGGCATCGATCCCGCCAAGAGCACACTATTCGTCCAGTCCGCCGTCGCTGAGCACGCCGAGTTTAACTGGATCCTCAGTTCGATGACAACGATGCCGCGTCTGGCTCAACTGCCACAGTTCCGGGAGAAGTCCCGCCTGCTTAAGGATGTCCCACTGGGATTGTACGTTTATCCGGTTCTTCAAGCAGCCGATATTATGCTTTATAAGTAAGTTTTTACTTTTTGCTGAGTGTTATTCACAACTGTTTAGCTGCAGCATTTTTGAGAGCTATACATAGGTATATCCGCCAAGAATTAAAGCAAATAATTTCGATTGCGACTTAAAAATTTAGTATATTCTTAATCATCATCGATGATCAAAGTAAAGACAAAGATAAGGACACTGTATATTTTATTACATACTTAAAGGAAGAGTTTATAAAAATACTAACACTTTGATACCTTTAATTTCTTCTTAGGGCTACCCATGTTCCTGTGGGCGCTGACCAGATACAACACATCCAGCTGGCCCAGCACTTGGCTAAAACTTACAACGGTCGCTATGGCGAAACTTTCCCTGTGTGCCACGCCATCGTCGAGGATGGTGACGCCTCCCGGGTGCTGTCCCTGCGAGATCCTTCCAAAAAGATGTCAAAATCAGAGGCCAATCCCAAGGCCACCATCAATCTATGCGATTCGCCTGACCTAATCACGCAGAAGATAAAGAAAGCCGTCACAGACTTCACGTCGGACATAACCTACAATCCTGGAAAGCGTGCCGGCGTGAGCAACCTCGTCAACATCCATGCCCAGGTTACGGGGCAGTCGATCAAGACAGTGGTAGATGAGGCTGCCACTCTGGACACGTCCAAGTACAAAGACCGTGTGGCTGAGGCTGTGGTCGAGCACCTGCGTCCGATCCGGGAGCAGATCCACCATCACATGACCAGGCGCAACGAGATGGTCTATCTGCTGGAGGTGGGTGCCGAAAAGGCGCGTCAGCAAGCGCAGCAGACGTTGAACGACGTGAAGCAGCGCCTGGGACTGGGCACTAGCGTCAATATGCCGGCTGCGGTGCATGTGGTACCGCTTCTACCCGCACCCGAGGTTCCCAAGACCTCGGCCAGCAGGCGCATGTCCAAGGACTTCGACGGCAATGTCCACGAGCGCCACGAGCGGATGTACGGCTTCGGGGATCAGCCAAGCGGTGGAGCTGGCCAGTCGGCCACTGGGGAACTGACGGAGATGTCTCAAGCGTCGATGCCGCGCGTGCCCCGTCGCCCGCCCGTCGTGCCGGCCCAATCCCTGCGCGTGGAGAAGCAACTGGGCAGCACCCGGACACGTCACGTATTCCAGATGGACACCTGCAATGCCCCGCACATTGGATTCAAGCCGCCACCTGGATTTTCTGCCAACTTGGTCACTGGTGGACTAGCAAAGAACAAGCGTCCGACAGTAAAACCCGTTTCCGGAAGCATGGGATTCGGACAGCACTCGCATGGAGGCTCGTCCAAACACGGCCAGAACGTTAATCCCAGTGCGGTGTCGACCATAGCACGTGAAGTAAATGCCGCCAAGAAGCAGGAGTTCACCTGCAATGTGGCCAACTCTGCCTTCTACGCATCTGCCCTCGACTCACGTCAAAGTTCGAATCGTTCCAGCGAGAAGAGCTCCTCCAAGGCGCAAGACAGTGAGTTTATTATTGTTGCGAATGAGGAGGAGGAGCAGAACTCCTCAGAGGAGCAACGCGAGGAGACTGAAGAGGAGGAGGCAGTGGAGCGGGAAAGGGAGAATGGCGAACGCAAAGCCTCCGAAGCTACCAAAGTCGAGATCTAAGTCTAGGAAACATTGCAATTGTTATTAGTGTAGTACAAGTATACTTAGCAACATTTCTTTCAAATCTGTCGTTTTTATGAAAATAGTCGTGCTTCTACCGGAAAAAATAGTCTATATTTAAAGTGTATGTCGATGACATATAATTATTTTAAACCAAAAAATTGACGTATTAAAATCGAATGACAAGTAAAACTGAAATACATTTGATCGCTATAATTGTTGTTAAATTTACTTTTATGTACTGTTACAGTAAGGTAACATAAAAATATTATTAAATGTTAAACGCGTGAGTGATCGATTTGGCATCAAATTATAATCGAATCCAGAACATCAAAATAAATTAACACACTGCTTAGCATAAGAATATTCGTGTTTATTGCTTTCAGCTACCTTATTGTACATTTCGTAGTTTTTGGTTTCCTATTTTACGATATGAGGCTAAGTGCATGTGTAAATTACATTGGTGAGTATGTGGATGATGAGCATCGCGGCTTAAATCGCGTATCTTGTTGGCAAAAATAAATGTATGTATAGGGTAATTAAATATCATTGTACACTCAGGATGTACTGTGCATCAATATCAGGGGCACCTCGTTGCTGTACTTGGAGTTCTCCTGTCCGCCCAACAATGCCGAGTTGCTGCAGTCCCTCATCATGGCAATGGAATTGTTGCGCTGCTCCCGCTGCCTCAGACGACTGTGACGGACGCCGTACGACAGAAAGATGGCCAGTCCGATGGCGATCCAAATACTAAAGCGCACCCAGGTGAGGATGTCCAGCTTGATCATCAGGTAGATATTGATCAGAATGGAAATTCCGGGTAGCCATGGCACTAGGGGCACCTTAAACGAAAGCTTCACCCCCGAGGTTGGCTGGCGCGAGACGATCAGCAACAGCAGCACTAGGGGTATGGTGCCCAGCACCAGCTTAATTCCATCGAAGGACGTCACGTTCGCCAGATCCTCCTCAAACTTGGTCAGAATCTGAGAGAAGACCATGCACCAAAGAGCTGAAAGTAAAAAAGGCTTTATTAATTTTCTTATTTCTAAAGTAAAAAAAATGTATTTTTAACTTACAGAACAAAGTCACACTGTAGGTGACGATCCTCGAAGTCTGCTTGGTGGGCACCGTTTGGCCATTGAGGTTAAAGATCCGCCTCCAGAGGGCACAGGGACGATCCTGCTCCAGAACCATAACACGTCCGTTTCCCACGATGCGGCTCTCCCTGCGATCATCCACCTCGTAGCGCAGCATGAGCACACAACTGGCCACCATGGAGTAGGCCAGCAGGGTGCCGATGGACATCATGTTCACCAGCTGGCTGAGATTAAAAACAGCCGCCAGGATGCCCGTCAGCAGACCCGTGATCATTGTTCCTTTGAACGGAGTCTTGTACTTTTCGCTGATGTCCCCGAGGAATTTGAACAGCAATCCATCGTTGGACATGGCGAATACAATTCTTGGCAATGGGAACATGGCTCCCATCATACTGGAGCACAGTCCAAACATGGCTCCAATGCTGACCACGTACTCGGCCACATGCCAGCCATTTATCCGGAATACATGAGGCAGAGGGGCCTTCTCGTCCTGGTCGAAATAGGGCAGCATCATGGTCAGCACCGTGGACACTCCAAAGTAAGCCAGGAAGATCATGGCCAGCGAGACGATCACAGCAAATGGAATGGACTTCTTGGGGTTCTTAGCCTCCTCTCCAGCAGTGGCAATGCAATCGAACCCAATGAACCCGTAGAAACAAACTGCAGCTCCCTTTATGATGCCGGAAACTCCGTAGGGCATGAATCCACCGTGGCCATAACCCTCGGGCACCTCCGATTTTGGAATGGACCAATTGCTGCTGGAAACTGCACAAAAGATTGTTATTGTTATTGATTGATATATAAAATATTATTATTGATAAATGTATTTTAAAGCCAAAACTTAAAGTTTTTTTATATTTACAATTAAATAATCTTTAATAGATTTCTAACGCTTTACAATTTGGTTACCTTAGAAAAAATTATAATCATACATTTTGAAATATTAATAAGCTTACTTTACTTGTTAACAAAGAGAAAATAATTATTATTATCAAAATAAAATGGATTCTTTGAAATTTAAAAAACATTTAAAATAGTAACCTTAAAAGACTTTACTTCTTTAGAATAAATTTAAGTCGTATAAAAAATAATTACAATTTTAAAAAACTCACCTTTAAAAAGTCCTGCGATGATCACGAACAGCACTACTCCCAGATTCAGCATGGTGAAGACATTGTTCACCCTGGTGGACTCCTTGGCTCCCACGGCAATGCCCAGGGAAAAGAGTATGGTTACCACAAAGGCGAACAGATCCGGATAGGCACCCATACCATCGATGTTGATGGGCATGTGGGTGCCCAGGAAACTGCTCATCGGATTGCCGCAAAGCTGATCGAGATAGGTGCTTAAACCCTTGACGACACTGGCAGAGCCTATCAAAAATTAATATACAAGTAGTAACATCAGAATTTGTGGGCAATTAAATCAAATCAATCAGACGGCGGCGCCTCTAATTGAAAGCTTACCAATTGCGTATTCGAGAATGAGATTCCAGCCGATGAGGAAGGCGATAAACTCGCCAATGGTCACATAGCTGTAGATATACGCCGATCCCGCCTTAGGAACCCGGGCTCCGAATTCCGCATAGCATAGTCCGGCGAAGATCGAGGCGATGGCAGCGATGAGGAAGCTAACGACCACCGCAGGACCCGCATATTGTTTGGACACTTCGCCAGCCAGGACATAGACACCCACGCCCAAAGTCGATCCTATTCCCAGGGCGGTGAGATCAAAGGCGGATAAGACCTTGGCCAATTTGGATTCATTCGAGTCCTCCAGGGGCTTCTTGCGTGTGAGCACGCGAAACGCATTCGTCACGCTCCAGCTGGGCATTCTGGAATAAAAATTATTAATTCATTAAACAATTATTATAATGGGTAAGTGTGCAATTGGAGCTAAGGGCTTCTGCTGAGCCGTGCAATATATTTATAACCCGCCGTACTCGATGTTTACAGAACCGACATATTAACACGTTCGCAATTTGTGGAAAGTGCCTGTGGTGGTAGATGGGTCAAGAAATGGTGCGGAGTTTGGTTTATGGATGGGCCATAAGAAAATTAGTGGGCGTCCGTTAATGTGCGAATGTAGACAACGGTTTTACGACCACCAGGTCGCGTCAAAGCTGATCTAAATTGGAGTCTTGTGATCATCGGGAATTATCTCCGATGACTAAGAGGGGGAAATCACCATGCTACCATCTCCTAAAATTCAGTGCCTTAACTAAAACAATTATCTTTTAAATTTGGGAAATTATATTTTTGATAATCTGAACAGATTAATGTTTTTTTTTAATTTTAGAAACATTTAAATGCAATTTTTTCACATATGTCTTTATTAGTTGTGTTTACCAATAAAATGGATGCAAGCACATTTACAAATTTTTGACTCTTTTGTTTGACTCTTTTTTCAAAACCAAACTAATAAATAAGCTAAAGGACAAGTATGTAATATCAGGCAGTCTATAATAGTCAAATTAAAAAATATTTTTTTAGAAAGGATATCTTTTGGTGATAAGAACAGAAAACGTAATGAATAACAATTTCCCTTAGAAAGTTTTTAAAATGAGGGTATTTTTGTCACCTATACATTTCTCACCTGGTTTCTTGAAATGGCGAGTCCTTTAACAACCTAAAAACTAATCACTTATGTATTTACTATCACAAACTTTATTTAATATCACAAACTAAAAGCCATAGTTGGTTTGCAAGGGTGAATCGAGTTTTAAAATTTGAGGGACACAAAACTTCTGTATCTGTATCTGGTTGCCACTTAATTGAGTTTGGGTATTGAAATTCGCAGTTTGGAATTTGATCGAGTTGCGTATAGCGCCGGAAAGCGTTCCACTTATTTCTGAGCGTACGCCGAGCATGCCAGCGCCATTAAATAGCGAATCGGTTCTACGGCTCCGGGGGATCGTGGTGAGTTCAGATCGAACTGAAGCTTTCGCATCCTCAGGTCGGACACGAACGTGTCGGAATCACGCCTCTGACGCTGATAACGCTAATTGGTAACCCTCCTCCTCCTTCCCCACCTGAATACATAGTATTGTATATAAACATTGATTGTTTATTCCCGAATGCATACCCCGGGTGGGAACTCTCGGTTTTACCGGATGACTGCGCAGGTCGATGGGCCAAGTTTACCGCAAGCCCTAATGAATTGTCGCGTTAGATTAGCGGTTCAAATAGTTGACACTTACGACTTTATTTAATTAAAAGGTTAGTAGCTAAGCTGTGGCATCCTGTAAAATTAACGCAAACCTTTGCAATCAATATTTTAGAAAAATGTTGTTTTTTTTTTACTAACTATAATATTAAAGGTCCTTTGGACAAAAAAAATGAACAATAGATTGTAACAAGTAAAATACATCTTTTTAAAACTCGCTATACGAAAACCAATATTTTTCGAAGGCCTAGTAATTTGAATACCCGATCCTCGCGGAGTGAAATACAAATAATAAGTTGGTCCGACCCTAAGAAAATAATCTATAATAATTTTTTATATGTCAATACTCTCATTTTCTGTCAAACCAAAAGAAATGTTTATTTTATAAAAAACATGGAAATAAAAATAATACCTAGTATTTCATCAAGCCGTCCTTATTTATTGTCTTTTTTGATATTGTTAAATAACTTTTTAAGTATTGTAAGCTTAATTTATCGTACTGTGCACAGTTTTTTTCGATAGAAGTCGTTTACTTACAAACAACTGAAAACTGCTGATATCTTGGGAAACCTTGTGATAAAGAAACACGAGCACCCAACAGAGCTTTGCATATTAGGTTCAGAAAAAATTGTTATTTTTAATTGTATTTTAAACAAAACGAAAAAAATGATTTAAAGACAATAAATTAAATGTCCATAAAAAATTAAAATTCGTTCTATTAGCACGTAAATTATGTTTAATTTGGTCTGATTGAAGTTGTTTTCGCGGCAAATGAAAAAAGGCAGCTGGAGTTTTGGTTCCATTAAATGGAAAAAGCCAGCTGAAGTTATAGCCCCAGTATAAAAATAGTTTTACCTCCCTGCAGAGTATTTTTCAGTTGATGTGATGGCATTTGTTTTCATACGGCACTACTAATTTGGCTTTGTTTGAGCTTTCCATTGGCATGGACGCGTGGAGTTTTGGCCATTGTTTATACGCAACTCAGCTGATACATGGGTGCTATTCGCGTCGTGTGGCCGAGAGGTGGGTGCTAAATCGTGGCTAAAATTAGCCACCGTGTTTGATTGCATTTAACGCTAATTTTAGACACTTGTTGCATGCGTGTTCTTGACATCCACTCACCCATAGTACTCGGCAAACTCCTCCATTGCTGTCATCCGAATCGATTTGATTAAATTCAATTAATACCGTGCCGCTCATCAATTTGCGGCCGCTTTCTGCTCTTCACATAAACGTTCTGCCGCAAACCATGTGTTTTGGTCTCTTGACTACCGACCATAAAATCACATTTCCACGCAACACATTGCAGCTGCCGCTCTCTCTGTTGGCCTAACTCTCTCCCATTCTCCATGGGCGTAGTTGTCAGGGATTTGCCCCATATATTGTACATATACATATATGTACCTACATATAATGTGTCACTTAATTCTTTGCAAAATGGAAAATGTCATTAAAATTAATTCTTCCTTATAATATATAATTGAACTACGGTTTGCGTAAGTAACTTTCTGTGAGTTCAAGTGTTGCCACTTTAAGTCTTTTCAGGATTGTAGAAGAATTGGTAAAAAATCGTGTACGCAAATTTCGTTTTGAGAAATGTTTATTTATGTGTTTTAAAATAATTTCAGTCCAAGCTTTTGTTTTTCCCAAATCCTATTTTTTGGCTAAATTTAAAATCACGTCTTATTATCAAAATACATCTCGTATTATGGTCGGAAGAAGTTTGTGTTTACACACATCCAAATATGTAAATAATTAAAATGACAATAAGAAGTTCTAAAAAAAAATCCAAAATAGTAAAGCCTTCTATAAAATATGTTAAATCAATGAATTTTTTTTTTTTGATTTTTCTGTTATCATAATATAAATATATTGTGGAAATTAACCCATGCCTACGCCCATGTCAATCTTCCATTATTCTCAAGAAGAGTGAGAGAAACTGGGTAGTCAACATTTACGAACTAGATATGCTAGCAATATTTATATAGGCAAATAGGTGGACTGGCAACCCTGAACTGATTTAGCCGGTAAAAGGTAAAAAACCGCTCTCACATGTTGGCTCTCTTTGCGCCTTTGTTGTTGTGCTTATTTCTTCGCCCCTTATATTTCATCAGCCATAACTTCCACCCTTAACCGCATTTCTTCAAATGTTTGAGCGATGGGTCATTTGTGTTTTAAACTAAAAAAAACAAAAATTCAGGGCTTGAAAGTTTTTACCTTATAATTTATTTGAGAAAACATTTTTTTTTTTTCAAATTTTAGAGCATTTTACAAAAATTTTTTTTGTTTAAGAGATTTATTCTTAATTAAATTAAATGAATTAAATAAAATTTAAAAATTAAAGAATTCAAAAAAAGCTGCAAGTAAAAGGAAAGACAAAACTTTTAATTCAATCAAATTTAAAAAAATCTACAATCAAAAATGTATGATTTATTTATTAGTAACGTCACATTTTCACGTGCTAATCGGTAAGAGCGACGATTCTATTGATTGAATGAATCATGTGCCTCATATGTGGACTCGAATTTGAATTGTTGCTTTTGGGGCAGCGGTTCAAATATAATTTAAATTAGTTCCGATTACACTAGTGTACACACAAAAAAAAAAAATGGTAACTGATTCAGTTTGAAACGATGTAGATTGTAAACACTTGTAAAGTTTATTTTACGGTAGTGATAATGCATATTTAAAACTTTCTTACAGAAATCTGATTTCATAGTAACACTCTTTTAAATGACTGTGGTTCAATTCTCCAAATCTCTGATATTAAATCTTGGTTTAAATTTGTGGGTCATTTTTTTAAAAGTGCTTTTTTTCTCCAAAAATCTGCGCTTAAATCTTGAGTCCGATTTTTTTATTATTTTGTGAATATAATTTAATAAAAAAATTAATCAAAACTCAAATCTACTAAATCTTTATAATAAGCAACCGATTTAATTTTTTTTTTAAATCAAAACTAATTTATCTGCTTATGGACATTAATTTAGTATTTGTTTACGTTTAAATTTTGATAGTCGATGCTAAACTTTGCTCCTGGATTGTTTCACTACTAAAACTTCAAAAAAATGTTCACACATGATTATAATAATACTCGAAAGTAAATTAAATACAGAGTAATGTCCCACTCTGTTAGTTCCAAAAGAAATATGAAGAAGTTGAGTTGTATTTGCTGTGCTGCAGGATTTCTGCTTTTTTGTATCCTGGACGTTGTTAATTCAATGAACGGAACGGACTATTGCAAGCTAAAGAACTGCCCAGCCGACAAGAAACTGACACATATTGCATGCAATAATAAAGGGGTAAGCATTTTACTTTAAACATTGAAATTCCGATGTTTAAAAATATGTTTTTTTATAAGACCAAATGTTTTCTATTTCGCAGGACTGGTCGCCACAGTGTGGAAAAAACCCAAAGATCATAACCATGACCAGGAAAGTAAAGATGTTCATCGTCCGCTATCACAACACCTATCGGGATATTGTGGCCGGAACCCAGTTCCACAGGTTACCCAATGCAGGTCGGATGTTGAAAATGAGGTGGAGTCAGGATCTGGCTTATTTGGCTGAACTGATGGTGAAACGCTGCGATCTAAAGCCCACTGAACACTGCTTGTCCACGGAACAGTTCCCCGCCCCGAGCTACCATGCGGTATACAACAAGTTCAAGAAGAACGAGAATGAGTTCAGGGTAGTCAGATCCCAGCTGAATTCCTGGTACGATCAGTATAAGCACGTTTCTGCTCTCAGCCTTTTAGATGGAGTGTCCAGCTCCAAGTAAGTATTCGTTGTCATCCGCCATGGTGCACCGTGGTGGTTTGGGTTCTTGATTATATCTTTCAGGAAGGAGATTGGACACTTCCTGAGAATGATGGTGGGTCCCAGCAACCGATTGGGCTGTGCCATGGCCAGGATCAAAAAGGACGGAAAAACCCAGCAATGGCTATCCTGCCTCTACAGCTGTGCACCGAAGAAAAACCAAGCCCTGTATGAGTATTCAACCAAACCGGGAGCTTTCTGCACCACCGGGGTGGATAGAAAGTACCAACACCTGTGCAACAGAACGGAGCCTGTGGAAAACTGCTCGCACTCGGAATTATTCAAGGGAGCCGTTACCAATGACACCGCATCGTTGATAAGGGGCATGATGCACAAAAAAGTGCAATCCAGGACCTGTTGGCTCTGCTATAGTTGTTGCTATTGGTGGAATTGGGCGTTTGGATATTATACGTATTCGTATACAACATATTCGTGGACGACCACGTCCACGTCCACGTCCACATCCAATAATAAGAAAAAAGAAAAAGAAACTGAGTGCTGTGAGTGTGAGTGCGAGTGTGAGTGTGAAGATGACTAGACTTTGCATTGTTTTACCTGTTGAGAACAGAAATGTAAGTCAAAATATAAAAACTAAACAATGGTCAAAATAAAATTCGATAAACCAATTAAAATTTGTTTTGAAAATTCGGCATCGTCACCCAAAACCATTTGCATATTTTTAAATAATATGAAGAAACGATTGCCGAATCGAAAAATATTTTGAACAAACTAAACATATTTAGTGTATGCATTTAAATATTTTAATTTGTGTAAAAATCAAAGATCCGTAATCAGATGCAAATAAAAGTGAACGCAGAACTTTAAATTCAATCAGATTTATAGACAACTAAAAACAAAACGTATGATTTATTTCTTATTAACACCACAAGTGCTAATCGGTGAGAGCGACGATTCTATTGATTGAATGAATAATTTGCTTAATATGTGGGCTTGAATTTGGATTGTTGTTTTTGGTGCATATTATAATTTTAATAGTCTCCGATTACACTAGTGTACAAGCAAATAAAAAATAAATTGTGGAGTTTGACCTCTTTATAAAAATAGAGATTGTAACATTTGTAAAGTCCATTTTAGGGATTACCCACGGGAGTACTCATACTTTATCTCGATTTAGTGACTATGAATATTTACATTATTTTATTACCTTTAAGATATTTATATACCCTTGCAGGCGGTATTATAATTTCAGTCATAAGTAGGTATACGCAAACTAGTCTTTCGGTTTTAAAGCTATTTATATAAAACCTAGCATAAAGACTTTGTTCTGTTTCAAAACACACGACTGTGTAATAAAGCTGCCATATTAAAACCGGACGACTGTCAGCTATATGACCATGGGAACTATTGCAAAATTGTTCGAAAAATGTTTTAAAACATCGAATCAAAATAAAGAATATTAATTTTTGTAACAGCTGCCATGCTGAATAAATAGTTATTTTTGGCTCTATTAAGAAATCAGATTGTTTTTATGAGGTGCCAAACATTTTTTTACCGTATTATCTAGCCTTTGTTTTTTCGTCACCAGATATTATTCGGTCACACCCCTAACATACAAATCCAAACTCGATACTCGAAGCTAATTTAAATACCGAGTAATGATTCAAACAGTTAGTTCCAAGGGGAATATGAAGTTGTTGAGTTGTCTTTGCGTTGCAGTTGGCTTGTTATTTTTTTCAAGCCTGGACGTGGTTAATTTGATGCCAGAAACCGACTACTGCCAATTGAAAAACTGCCCAGTTAACAAGAAACTACCACATATTGCCTGCAACAACAAAGGGGTTTGCTTTGTAGCTTATAAATAAGTATTAAGTTAAAACAACAGAAAGTTTAATTTTCCTTAACTCGCTAAAAGTTTATTAAGAAAACGCTTTTTAGAAAGCTGATTTTGTAAATTCAAATGTTAGTAAGCATCACTATTTATATAGTGTTTATGTTGTTTAATTGGCAGGGCTGGTCGTTACAATGCGGAAAAGACCCACAAATTGTCCCCATACCCGAGAACATAAAGAATTTAATCTTGAATCATCACAACACTTATCGCGATGTTGTGGCCGGCACCAGATTCCACAGGTTGCCCACAGCGGGTCGCATGCTGAAAATGATGTGGGACTCCGATCTGGCCTATCTGGCCAAGCTCCTGGTGAAGCGCTGCGATCTCCACCCCACTGAGCACTGCATGTCCACGGAGGTGTTCTCCGCCCCTAGCTTCCATGCGGTCTACAACAAGTTCAAGAAGAACGAGGATGCCTTCAGAGTGGTAAGATCCCAGCTGAATTCCTGGTACGATCAGTACAAACACGTTACTGCAGCCAGCTTAATTGATGGTTTGTCGAATAATAAGTGAGTGATGCATATCATCCGTGTTTTGTGTTCCGGATAATATCCTCTCATTTCAGAACGGAAGTTGGACACTTCCTGAGGATGATGGTGGGCCCCAGTAACCGAATGGGCTGTGCCATGGCCAGGAATGAAAAAAATGGATGGACCCAGCAGTGGTTGTCCTGCCTCTACAGCTGTTCACCAAAGAAAAACTCCCTAATATACGAGTATGCTGTCAGTGCCGGAAAGTTTTGCACCACCGGAGTTGATGGCAAGTTCCAACATCTTTGCAACGAATCGGAGCCTGTGCAAGATTGCAAGAGTTCGGACCAATTCAAGGTGGTCATTACCAATGACACTGCATCGTTAATTAGGGCCATGATGAAAAACCCATCCTATTCCAGGAGTTTTATATGTCGCTACTGTTCCCTCTGTTGCAAGGTGTGGGGTTGGGTGAAAGGTGGTTGGGGTAGGCTTAAGCAGACATGGGCTTCAATTATGGGTGGCGGCGGTGGCGGCGGTGGCGGCGGTGACGGCGGTGACGGCGGTGGCGGCGGTGACGGCGGTGGTGGTGAAGAATGAATTTTACTTTTGTTTCGCCTTTGAACCTAAGAGTTATTTAAAAAAAAAGATATTAACACATGTAAATAAAAGTGTAAAGTAATATAAACAGAATTGAAACTAACAAGAAAGGAAAGCTTACTTAGGGCGGAGCCGAGGTTGATATACCCTTGCAGAATATTCTGTAAATTATGTTCTCCAACATTATTCTTAATACTCATAAAAAATCCCAACTTCCTAACTTTAAAAACACCAAAGTTATGGCATTTCCAATCGTTCAGTTATATGGCCGCTATAGGATATAGACGGCCGATCCCTATGAAATTTGGTAGGTCGGATTAATTGACCAAACATAAAACCCATCGAAAATCCCAACTTTACAAACACCAAAGTTATGGCATTTCCGATCGTTTAGTTATATGACAGCTATAGGATATCGTCGGCCGATCCCGGCCGTTCCGACTTATATACTGCGTGCAAAGGATCGAAGGGGGTTTCAATTAGATATCTTTAAAACTGAGAGACTAGTTCGCGTATAATCAGACAGACGGACAGACAGACGGACATGCTTATATCAACTCTGGACGCGATTCTGATCAAGAATATATATACCTTATAGGGTCGGAGATATCTCCGTTGCACACTTTTGACCAAAATTATAATCACCTCTGCAGGTGTATAATTTGAATACCCTCTGCAAGGGTATAACAATGAATCTACATCGATTTTGCGCTTCGCTTGTTGTCCGATTTTAATTTAATTAAAACCGTAATTTAATAATTATATAATAAAACCAAATTAAGGAAAGCTAACTTCGGGCGGAGCCGAAGGTGATATACCCTTGCAGAATATTCTGTAAATTATATTCTCCAAAATCGGATCGGGTGTTCATATGATGCATTGTTAATACTCATACTCATGCGTAGAAACGGACGGACGGACGGACGGACGGACGGACGGACGGACAGACGGACGGACAGACGGACGGACAGACGGACGGACAGACGGACGGACGGACAGACGGACGGACAGACGGACGGACGGACAGACGGACGGATAGACGGACGGACAGACGGACGGACAGACGGACGGACAGACATTCCTGGTGATGCCGATCAAGAATATATATACTTTATAGGGTCGGAAATGGTTTCTTCACTGCGTTGAAAACTTTTGACTAAAATTATAACACCCTCTGCAAGGGTGTCAAAACCGAATGACTATTGCAAAATTGTTCGGAAAATTGAGCTATCTTCATTGTTTTTAAATATCAAAATCAAAATAAAGAATATTAATTTTTGTAACAGCTGCCATGCTATATAAACTTCGGCTTTGTTTCTTCAATAAATTTGAATTATTGTTATTTTTGGCTCTAATAAGAAATCAGATTGTCTTTATGAGGTGCCAAATATTTTGTTTACCATATTATCTAGCCTTTGTTTTTTCGTCACCAGATATTATTCGGTCACACCCCTAACATACAATTCCAAACTCGATACTCGAAGCTAATTTAAACACCGAGTAATGATTCAAACTGTTAGTTCCAAGGAGAATATGAAGTTGTTGAGTTGTCTTTGCGTTGCAGTTGGCTTGCTGTTTTTTTCAATCGTGGACGTGGTTAATTTGATGCCAGAAACGGACTACTGCCAATTGAAAAACTGCCCAGTTGACAAGAAACTACCACATATTGCCTGCAACAACAAAGGGGTATGCTTTGTAGCTGAGAAATAAGTATTAAGTTAAAACAACAGAAAGTTTAATTTTCCTTAACTCGCTAAAAGTTTATTAAAATAACGCTTTTTAGATGATTTTGTACATTCAAATGTTAGTAAGCATCACTATTTATATAGTGTTTATGTTGTTTAATTGGCAGGGCTGGTCGTTACAATGCGGAAAAGACCCACAAATTGTCCCCATACCCGAGAACATAAAGAATTTAATCTTGAATCATCACAACACTTATCGCGATGTTGTGGCCGGCACCAGATTCCACAGGTTGCCCACAGCGGGTCGCATGCTGAAAATGATGTGGGACTCCGATCTGGCCTATCTGGCCAAGCTCCTGGTGAAGCGCTGCGATCTCCAGCCCACTGAACACTGCATGTCCACGGAGGTGTTCTCCGCCCCTAGCTTCCATGCGGTCTACAACAAGTTCAAGAAGAACGAGGATGCCTTCAGAGTGGTAAGATCCCAGCTGAATTCCTGGTACGATCAGTACAAACACGTTACTGCAGCCAGCTTAATTGATGGTTTGTCGAATAATAAGTGAGTGATGCATATCATCCGTGTTTTGTGTTCCGGATAATATCCTCTCATTTCAGAACGGAAGTTGGACACTTCCTGAGGATGATGGTGGGCCCCAGTAACCGAATGGGCTGTGCCATGGCCAGGAATGAAAAAATGGATGGACCCAGCAGTGGTTGTCCTGCCTCTACAGCTGTTCACCAAAGAAAAACTCCCTAATATACGAGTATGCTGTCAGTGCCGGAAAGTTTTGCACCACCGGAGTTGATGGCAAGTTCCAACATCTTTGCAACGAATCGGAGCCTGTGCAAGATTGCAAGAGTTCGGACCAATTCAAGGTGGTCATTACCAATGACACTGCATCGTTAATTAGGGCCATGATGAAAAACCCATCCCATTCCAGGAGTTTCATATGTGGCTTCTGTGCCCTCTGTTGCGAGTGGTGGGATTGGGCGAAAGGTAGTTGGGGTATGCTTCAGAAGACATGGAATGTAATTATGGGTGGCAGCGGTGGTAGTGAAGAATGAATTTGATTTACAAAAAAAGGATAAACCACATGTAAAGAATACAACTGGCTGTCCAAATAAAAGTGTAAAGTAATATAAACCGAATTGAAACTAAAAACAAGAAAGGATAGCTAACTTCGGGTGGAGCCGAAGTTTATTTACCATTGCAGAATATTCTGTAAATTATATTCTCCAAAATTATTTATATGATGCAGTCACAACTTCGTAACTGCATAATGTTAACAGTGTTGCTAAGCTATGAACAAGAATTGGTTCTAAGGGGTGTCAGGATGGGCGTGGGTTTAACTTTAGCCTGCGATCTTCAGATCCAGAACTTGAATTTCTTGCCGCCCTTCTCCCCTTCTTGCCGTTCTTGCACCCCTGCCCTCCCCGGACTCCGAGGACCCCCTGTGCCCCTTTATGGTTCCGTTAACTTTTGGTCTGGTTATTGTATGGCGAGGGATTTCTATTGCTTTTATACCAGCTCTTGCACCTGGGCTTATACAGAATCATGAGATGCCACGCCACCTCTTCAAAAGTGTGTCAGCCAAAGCAAGAAAACCGTTTTTGCGCAAACAAAAATTTGCAACATTGAGTTTTTTGCACAATTGATTAAACAGATAACATAGAACTTTTAACTTGCGATATTTATTTTATTTCGAGCACAAATGAATGATGCTGGCTAAGTATATAATTCCAAAATACCTTTTTGTTACTGAACGATTTGGTTTGAAAGTCCTTGGCGAAAATCCAATTTATGTTTACCAACACTAAAAGGTATTTACCCTTTGTACTTGTAAAATATGTGTACTGAATAAAACTTGTTGGCTAATTACGTATAAATATGTGGTACTACTCTGTAGTACGAAACATGTTAAAAATCGGTCTTCAACAACATAAGTACTTTTAAAAGTCCGCTGTTTAATAAATTTGGGCTTACCTTATATATTTTATAATCAAATATTGAAAAATAAAAACAGCTTTTAGTGAATGCGGATCAAAGCATTTAAAAGTATGCCACTTTTAAATATAAATTCAAATTTAAGGTTGTGGTATTTTTCTTATTTATATATTTTCTTATTAAACTAAATATTACAGCGTTGCTATAAACACTAAATTGTCTATACGCGGTGTTCTTAATTTATTATCGGGAATCCTTCCTGAGCTTAGTTCCCTTTTCCTGGAACGTCGACCTGACCTTCTTGGTCGCAGTGGATTCAGGCAGATCGAGAGTTCGAGTTCTGCAGTGATCTTCATGTCGCACGCCTCTGGGTTTATCCTCATCTGCCAAACTGTGTCAGCCGTTTTGGGCCAAAACAAAGATAATGATTTTGGCAAAACAAATAAAATTCGCAATTGTTCGCTTCAGCGCATTTGTTCAAACAGCCTAGAAAGTGAAGTGCAAATATTTACTTAAATTGCTTCTGATGTGTGAGACTTTATAAGTTATGTATTCCGTCTATGAGATTTGGGGGGATTATATAACAGAGCGATTGAGTATAAAAGGCCATGGCGGTGTGGCTCAAATCATCAGTATCCCATCCACTGGCCATCCAACATGAGGTTCACCTGTGTTCTTTTGCTGTCCACCACGGTCGTCTGCTGTCTGCTGATCGGGCAGACCAGTGGAGCCACTCCCCCCGCCACGGCCACCACAACCACCACGGCCACGGCCACCACAACCACCACGGCCGCCACAACCACTGTCGCCGCGGACACCACCACCACAGCCACAGCCACCACCACCTCGGCAAGCGGCACCAAGAAGATCTATGTTATAAACCGTACAGGGAATACCACAAAACCAAAGGTAGTAGGTAAAATCCATGGCAAACGCAGGAAACCAAAAAGAGGCAGCAGCGAAGAAAGCGGCAAATGGAGCAAATGGGGCAAATGGTAAATGAGGCAACAGAGGCAGCAAGAGCGGCAAAAGCGGCAAGAGCGGCAGAAGGAGCGGCGACAGTACCCGCAACCGTAGAAATCGACGTCTCGAGTACCTCCTTGACTCCATCTAAAGGACCCCCACCACACACTACCCACCAATCTGATTTGATCCCGATGACTACATTGACTCTTTTTTTATAGTTTTTATTTTTGATTATAATTAAGGCAAATACATAATATCGATATTAACTGGTGATGATTTTTTATGGCGATTTTTTGTACACGCACTAGCAACTAGGGATTTCAAATAATTTAAATTTTAAGTTCTTTAAAAACTTGCTAAAGACGGCTAGACTGTGCATTAAATCGATTGGGAAGCTGCGTCCTTCAGGTCACTTATCCCCATGCGTCTCAGTTCAATCTTAAAAACACTCTCACTCCCAAAAGTTTTGAGCCAATTTATTTACAACAAAAAAGGAAAGCTAACTTCGTGCGGAGCCGAAGTTGATATACCCTTGCAGAATATTCAGTAAATAATATTCTCCAAAATTATTCATATGATGCATTCTTAATACTCATAAAAAATCTCAACTTCCTAACTTTAAAAACACCAAAGTCATGGCATTTCCAATCGTTCAGTTATATGGCAGCTATAGGATATAGTCGGCCGATCCTTATGAAATTTGGTAGGTCGGATTGATTGGCCAAATATAAAACCCGAAGAAAATCCCAACTTCCAAACTGCACAAACACCAAAGTTATGGCATTTCCGATCAATCAGTTATATGGCAGCTATAGGATATAGTCGGCCGATCCTTATAAAATTTGGAAGGTCGAATTGACTGGCTAAATATAAAACCCATAGAAAATTCCAACTTCCTAAGTTTACAAACACCAAAGTTATGGCATTTCCGATCAATCAGTTATATGGCAGCTATAGGATATAGTCGGCCGATCCCTTTGAAATTTGGTAGGTCGGATTGATTGGCCAAAAATAAAATCCATAGAAAATCCCAACTTCCTAACATCTCCGGCCCTATAAAGGATC